TTCAAAGGATGAGTCTGGGATGAGTCTGGGTATCGACTTAGAAAATATTGAAAATTGTAATGTCTGAAAAACCAACTCAATCACACATATTATTAAACTTCAATATCTTATCCTTCTTCTGAGATTACAAAAATATCAATTTGTATCACAATTGATGAAGAATATTGGCATCAAAGACAGTGTATATTTGTCAGAATTGAAAAAAAATTAATGGCAAATATTAAATGAATTATTTATACAAAAAGTTTGAAACATATCCTCCAAAACATTGCTTACTTTCTTTGTATAGACATTGAATGGTATTTCTGGATAAGTGAATTGGTGTTTATCTGGGTAATCAAGGGATTATAGTCACTCAAGGTTACTGAGCATCCAGTTTTGAGACTTCAATTGTGTTGGTGAAGTTACACATATTTCAGTCAATTCATGCTGACTGAGCACAACAGTTTGGTTTCAATTTTATAATCTCTATACATGACCCTGGTGATGAAGAGTCAGAATCAGTCAAAAAACAAACCGGAAAACTGTGCTCATTGTGAAAACTAAAAGTGAAGCAACTTTTTCTGATATTTCTTACATCAAATGGCAGCCATCCTATTTTTCCCCCTTCAAATTAAACTGGCAGGAAATTCAAAAATTTGAAAAAATTCCTAATCGTTAAATATATTTCAAAAATATGATTTTCTTTTTAATTCTTCATGGGTCTTAACTTATTTCTTTTTTGTATGTCATACATAGTTGCCATTGGTGTTTTTTTCATGATAATGACTATTTTTTGTTGTTAAGATACTTATTCTGACTCTCAGCAGGGGGTTAATTGTGCATCAAAACTCGCGAAAAAGTAAATATACTTATCAAATATAACTACAGTAGGACAATAATAAAAACCATATTTCACATACATTTGACTGAGGGACCAAAAGGGCATATATCCAGACACATCCTTTGACTAAGATTGAACTCATAATATTGTGAGCAACTAGGTGGTGAAATCTTGTCATGTTAATGCCTTGTTTCTTCTTTTTCCTTTTTGAGGAGTATTTTTGCACAAACGTATTTTTCTTTCTTAGGTGTCACAGTGACCAGTGTAGGTTACTGGTCTGGTTTCATGACTAGATTACTTTGTCCGCTTGTTCCTAATATAAATTGTATCCTATTTTTCCATTAATTTGTATTAAACAACCACACGAGACATAGGATAGGCCCTTCAATATGGTGAAATTCAGCACGAGTTGGACAGAATGTCGTACGTAGCACGAACCAACGAGTGTAGAATTTCACCATAATGAATCATTCTGATACTCATAGCATCTTTCTGTTTCACCTGAGGGCTGAGAAGAAATGAGATGACATGGTTTATCATGATGATAATGAATGGCTATCAAAGTCTTACTGTAAGTGATCCGTTCGCAAAAGCTTGCACTTTCTGAAGCATAAGACCATGGGTTATGTTTGTGCCAAAATGGTAATAATAATTTTGCCTTAATCTCACAGAATCATGGAAGAACAAATTTTATCGAACAATGGTTGCGCCATTTTGTTACGAAAACGGTTCCGTTTTCATAACTCGTATTGAGTTCATCCACAGTGAGAATTTTGCATAGATTTCAGATCTTAGAAGATGGTCCAATTTGTGATTATGACATGTATAATATCTCAATGACTAGAAGTCCAGCTTTATGAGACATCACAATGTTCGTCAGTCTTATCTAACATAGAGGTAAGTAGGTCCTCAACATCTGATAAAAAGAAGTTATTCACCAGGAGGGATTTGATATGGGGAATATCGCAAGGATGATATCAGTATTTCCTGAGGAACCGCAGTGATTAAAACATCCAACATGACACAAATATTCATACTTTTAATTATTTATTGCATTTGCCATACTTAACATTAATATTTATCCATTGAAAGATGAGACATAATCATATATAGTGGCCTTCTATGTTATCTAATGATAACAAAATGCAAAGGTGGATTTCAAATCAGTTGTTGCTGCACAATGGTACACTAAAAGCACATAACCACATTCATACATATTGGACACATTGACTTTTATATTATGCCTGGGTCACATTTGCTCCGATCCATCGGCCTGCGCCTGGCGATTGGGTGTTTTGTTCAATATTGTATTCAATTTTGAACAAAATACTCATTCGCCCGGGCGCCTTTGTGAAAATCCGAGCAAATGTGACCAAGGCATTACTTATATCATTTAGGCCTCCATAGTATAACCATAATTGTATTACTTGTCAATTGGAACATCTTTGAAAGTGGAACATTTCAGTCTTAAGACCCACAGACTTAATTTTAATTGAATAAAGTGGAACATCTTTTCAGTCATGTGACCCACTGACTTAATTTTAATTGTATCTCTATTAGTGGAACACCTCCTAAGTGGAACAGTTTTAGGGTAGCCAATGGTGTCCCACATACACAGGTTTTACAGAAAATATGTTCATTGTCTGTAATTAGAAAACATACAGGGTTGGCCAAAAAAACTATCTTTAATATCTTTCTAAAAATGTATACTTTTATAGGTCTTTCTTCTACAAGAGACTCACTCTTATCATAATTTATGAGACATACCTTTTACATATAAAGCTACAATACATGTACAAAATACTGAATAAAATTGAGACAATATTCATCAAATATACATTATATATACTATCAATAGACCTTTTCAATAAATCCTGGCCCCTTTTGGTGAATGAATTAAACTAGAATGGCTAGATTTATGATGTAATGTGAAGAGAATTGTTCAAATTTGATAAGAATCTTATTCCTGCCTTAAATATGTAAGAATGACATAGCCACAGATGGAGTGATTTACTGAAATGGTCTATTTCTTCTGCCAAGCTGTAGTTCAGTTGAAAAAAATACATATTTCTCATAAAATATTTTCCTGGTTGTATGTTATGTTTAGCAGCATTTAAAAATATATTTCTCTGTTTGGTCTGTATTACATGTATTACAAATGTCATTTTAAAATAGAAATGGAACTCTGTGTCCAAATACTAGTCTAAACTTGAATAGTAATATTTAATGGCATCAACTGTAACTGGTTTTATTTGAAGGCCTATTCTAGGTGATAAGACATTTTCGTCATGATTTGCTGATTTAAAATAAATCACCATTATATTTTCAATAAATTGGATTTTCATAATTCACATTGAAATCTCTTCCTAAAATGGTGGTAAATTCTTCAAAGTAAATGGCCAAAATAGCCCCAGTTGCAGTTATACAGTTGCAAGCAAACATTCCACGTCAATACGTAGTTACATTCACTACTGTACATGTTATCTGATTTCATTTTAAAGGTGCAACAAAGGACAGATATACATGTACTGTAAGTTGAAGGCAACATTAAAAATGTCACATTTTCACAGAAGTTTTTGTTCAAATCATTCCCAGACTTACCAAAAACATAAGTTCTAACATGATAACACCTTATTTTAGGCTTATTTGGCAATAATGTTGAACATGGATAAAATCTTTTTTATCAATTTTGACATTTTTGCATCATGAACCTTCAATAGATTCCATCTTTGATGAGATAACTAAGTCTTTTTCAAGATAAAAAATTTGTGATTGTCATGGAAACATAATTTTTATAAATATTGCTTCCTACATTCTACAGTTTCTAGACTTTGTTGCCACTTTAAATGGACTTAATTACAACATTATCAGTCAGATTTCTTACAGCATGGATTTCATGGATCATTTTTACTTATATAAAAGTAGCAGTGATGGAGTTCCTAAAAGAATCAGAGACCCTAAGTAGTAAATAGAAAAAATACCAAAATATAAGATATAGTACTGTAGTAACTATAACACCATATGTTTTACAATGTTTAGAAAGTAAATATTAGAATTCATTACTTGTTCATTCAGAGTAAGTTACATACTTGTAGCTTTAAATAAACTGGATAGCAATCCAAAACAAACAAAAAACAAAATAAAATCATTAATAAAATCATAAATAATCATATATATGATCAGTTGATTTAATACAGTTTGGAATTCCTGATAATCAAGTTTTCACTTGGATATAATAGTAGTGACTGGCTCTAAGGATCTCTAATACTAGTATACAAAAATATAGATCTAAGAGATCTAAAAGTGCCTTTTCTGCTTAATGCAGCTTGCTTAGATATGGCTTTCTCTTGTTGAATGATGCTGAATGTTAATGTATGCAGAGTGGCATATCCTGGTAGATAAGCATAATCTAGCAAAGTGGCATATGCTGGCAGAGCAGCATACTCTGGCTTGCTCTTGACACAAAGGTTACCCTACTAGGCCCTCTGAAGTAAAAGGCTAATTAATGAACACTGCATGAATAAGAACTGAACACAATTCAAATTTCATATTCATAACTGACATCACTTATGATAAGTGATTATACAATTTGATGTGATGAGTCATACAGATCATTTAACAAGCATTCTCTATGCTCTAAATATAGTATGCATCTCAAATGAAAATGGTTACAGGCATTTTCATTGCTATATGTAATCATATGGCCTTTAAAGAATCCATGCAGATCCTTATCATATCAACAGTATTTCTCTGCCTTCACTATACTAGGCAAGTCAATCATATGTTTTGAATATGAAAACAGCTTATGAGGTAAATATATTGTGTATTCCTGTTGTCAAATGTCACCAGATAACCTCATTCTAAGTTTCTCTCTTGTCAAATGTCATGAGATGACCTCATTTTAAGTTTCTCTCTTGTCACATGTCACCAGATGAACTCATTCAAAACAGTTTCTCTCTTGTTGCATGTCACCACATGAACTCAATCTAAAGCAAAACTGCTCTCTTGTCGCCAGATGAACTCATTCTAAAGAAGTTTCTCTCTTGTCACATGTCACCACATGAACTTATTAGAAAGCAAAGTTTCTCTCTTGTCACATGTCACCAGACAACCTCATTCTAAACCTAAGCTTCTCTCTTGTCACATGTTACCACATGAACTCATTCTAAAGCAAAGTTTCTCTCTTGTCGCATGTCACCAGACGACATCATTCTAAAGCAAAGCATCTCTCTTGTCGATGTCACCAGACGACATCATTCTAAAGCAAAGTTTCTGTCTTAATCCTTTTAAATTAAAATTTAAGTAAAACATCCACTCTATGCCTTAAATATATGAATAGCCCTTGTAACAAACTGCCTACAAATTGGGCATTCTGCAAGCCGCTTGCCACACTTGGTGCAAGTTATCATGTGTCCACATTCTAACAAAACGCAGTCTATATGGGCGTCCATGCAAATCTTACACATGTCATTGTCATCCAGGTCTACTGTGTTACTGCCACTGCTCGATTCTGAAACACAAATTGGAGCTTACGTTTTAAAGTTTTTTTCAAAAATTAATCATCATGAAAATGTTTAGAATAGGGTATGTCTGGATTTGTTGTGAGTAATTTTTCCTATAATGGTAATACTGTTTTTTGTTTACATGTAAGCTGTTCAGTATAGATAATAATCAACTATGTTTGTCCATTTCTTGAAATCTTGTGGCTTATTCTATTGAACCAATTTAAGTCTCCTTTTCTAACCATTTCAGTAAATCAAAGGAAACTCTCAGTAATGCCAATAAGTAACGAAATATAGCTACATGTAAGATCTACCCCTAGAGTGAAACTTTGAACCTGATTTACCTTCATTCGTTGCATTTGTTGAACCTGATTGGCTGGATTTCTTCTTTTGATCTTGTTTTTGTAGCCAAAGTCTTCTTACTCTCTCCTCAAGTTCCCATTTCTCTACACAACCCTGGAATGTATTTATAGCATTTAAAGTACATAGTAGTAGCAGAGCAATTTAAGAACTGATAATATGACACTAGGGATGGGGTCGATAGACCTTTTAACCTCTTGACTTCCCAGAGTGACAAGATTTCTCCGTCACAACATTTTTAACTAAAATTGCTCTAATTTTGACAATCTTCATCCAATTTACACCAAAAATGTTTTAATATGTGTAGAAATGATCTCTACCAACCAATTTCACTAAATTGAGCAACACCTGTTGTATATGCATGTACATAGTAAAATGTCATAGGCTGACAAAAATGAAAAATTCCCTGGTTTCAACCCAATTTTAGAACCTGGGATTCAAGAGATTAAATAAAACCTGCCACTTTTGGTAAATCAAAGAAACAATGATATATTGTCTAGATTGATCATATCATTGGTTGTGCTTTTTCAAATTAGCAATAAGTTAATGCAGTAGTTCTAAGTTTATCCTATTTTCAGACCTTTCCAATAAACCCTACCACCTTTTGGTAAATCAAAGAAACCATGATATATTGTCTAGATTGATGATGTCATTGGATGTACTTTTTCAAATTAGCAATAAGTTAATGCAGTAGTTCTAAGTTTATCCTATTTTCAGACCTTTCCAATAAACCCTACCACCTTTTGGTAAATCAAAGAAACCATGATATATTGTCTAGATTGATGATGTCATTGGATGTACTTTTTCAAATTAGCAATAAGTTAATGCAGTAGTTCTAAGTTTATCCTATTTTCAGACCTTTCCAATAAACCCTACCACCTTTTGGTAAATCAAAGAAACCATGATATATTGTCTAGATTGATGATGTCATTGGATGTACTTTTTCAAATTAGCAATAAGTTAATGCAGTAGTTCTAAGTTTATCCTATTTTCAGACCTTTCCAATAAACCCTACCACCTTTTGGTAAATCAAAGAAACCATGATATATTGTCTAGATTGATGATATCATTGGTTGTACTTTTTCAAATTAGCAATAAGTTAATGCAGTAGTTCTAAGTTTATCCTATTTTTAGACATTTCTAATAAACCCTACCACCTTTTGGTAAATCAAAGAAACCATGATATATTGGCTAGATTGATGATGTCATTGGATGTACTTTTTCAAATTAGCAATAAGTTATACAGCAATTCTAAGTTTATCCTATTTTCAGACCTTTCCAATAAACCCTACCACCTTTTGGTAAATCAAAGAAACCATGATATATTGGCTAGATTGATGATGTCATTGGATGTACTTTTTCAAATTAGCATAAATGACATCATCAATATATAGCCAATATATCCTCACTTTTGTGATATATCAAAAGGTGGCAGGATTTATTGGAAAGATCAATTGTAGGCAGTTGTTGAAGAATGAGGTTTGCTTTGTTTGTGAATTTGGAGAAATTATGATTAAGTTAATTGGTGTTGATTTTCAAACAAAAATCAGGTGATTGTTCGTCATCAATTTCAAATTTCATGATTATGGGGAAGTTCAAAAAATACCTTATAGTCAACAAAGTTAGTTATAAGTATTTCTTTCAATTGTTTGACAGTCAAGTCTGGAATATTGTTCTCCTCTGTGATGTCATCAAGTTGAGCTCGTTGATTTGGTGTTCGCATATCAGCCTCATTCTGAAACCAGAGATATGATGCCATTAGTGACATGGATAATCGTTGGTTGAGTTAGCAATATGAATTATGTATGGGTATGATTTGCTTTTAAATGTGCATGGAGAAAACAGACTCATTGGGGGCTTGTTATCCCCCTTTTTAATGATAATCAATGACATAGAGATAAGGCTTGATCCAGAAAGAAAGTGCTCGATTTTATTGACAGATTTAATCTATCCACAATTCCCATGTACATGACATGTATATTATGAATGGAGGGTCAATTGATACTGCAGTGGAACTCAACCAGAATGTTACAATGACATTATGTGATAAAATTCCATATGATTCTTCTCATCTGGGCTTGTCACCATATTGTTACTATAACAACTGTTGTCATGACATTATAGTTCCTCTAAAACAATTCATTTTGGTAACAAGATGGACAAATGTGATAAAATTCAATATGTGTCTTTATATCTGGGTTTGTTACTACGACTACAACTGTTGTCCTGACATATTTAGTTCCTCTAATGTGTCAATAGAGTATGTTACCTCATCATCTAGAAGTTCTGTTCCTATTCTCCTGAGTGTCTCTTCCATCTCCTGTCTCTGCCTTGCCTAAAAGGTCATATACTAATTTTAATGTATTTCATTTTAAATATATATCTTCTCATTGAGCCTGTATTAACATATACACCATATTATCGTACATCATGTACATATATCCTTCATTAACATACATCCATATACCCTGTATTGACATATACCCCTAATATAATATGACATATATGTAACATGATATACCCCATATTTACTCCAGTTATGGTAGTGAGTTTCAATTTCTATAAGCTGTTAATCAGTTTCATACTAAAAACGTTACATCAAAAAAGGACTTTTTCAGTTTATACAAATTTTGGAAAAAACAGATGTTATTTTCCGATATAAAATTTTGGAATCATTTTTTAAATAACTGTGTCCATGTGTTGTTACCTTTATAATTTGATCTACTCATTTTTACCATTTCTAACATCAATATTTCACAGCTGGATCTGAATATAACCCCCTTTCATCCAAAAATAATGCCTTACCCTCCCCTATGTCCATCTGATAACCTTTGAACCCTTACCTCTAAATGATATTCATTACAATATTTGAAGGAGAGTGACCTGACTATACAGTTTTAGATTAATAGTAAATTCATGAACATATTTTTTTATTATGATATGCCAAGATAATTCTTGGCTTCATGACAAACACATAACAGACTGGTAAGAAAAATACTTTACATTTACAGAGGGATACAGAAGTAAGGTCAAAGGTGTTGCAATTTTAATACAATTTAATTATTAACTCAACAACTTACTCGTAATCTTTCCTCCCCGCTTGAGGTTCCATTGGAATGGCTTGACTGAGTCTCATTGGTCGATGGTGAACTGGACGAATTCGTATTTTGGTGGGTGGCACTTGAATTTTGAGCAAATGTTGAATCAGGATTTAAATTGTCCGACTCTTGAGAGTTTTGTTCCATTGAACTAGTATTATCATGTTCAGCTGTATTATGTACAGCTACATTAGGTACAGCTACATTGTCTGAGTGATTAGCTGCATTGTTTTCGCTCTGAATTCCACTGTCAGAATCTTGAGTTGAGTTATCAAATCCATGTTGCTGTTTTCTAGCCTGGAAATAAAATAACATTGACAATTAATGATTGATTTTATGTTTAATATTAATATTTTGACTAGGTATCAATTAAATTAATATGATGACTTGGAAATCATTCTGCAACCTTACTACTTTCTGGGAAGAAATTGAGCCCTTGTGATACAATTAAGAATGAACCTATATTGCATTCTACAATGTAAATGACAAAGACTGATCATTCAATTTGATTTGTAATAATTTGCAAACTGAGCTAAATATGTCACTACACAAATATACCTCTAGATCATCTAAACGTCTCTGATTCTCTGCCTGTTCTTGGGCGTACCATTCATTTCCGCTGTGACACAGTATCAACTCTACGAGATCATTCTTTTCTTTACAGTGGTTTGTACCAATATTTTTCTGGGTCAAAAACTGGCGCAAGTCTCGAACCTTCAACTGCATCAAATCATGACGTGAAAAATTTGGCTTGGTAAGGACGCGGCATTTGTTGCAACGTCTCCTTGTGATCGTTCTGGACACTTCCTTGAAGATACAGGCTGAGCAATAGTAATGCTGGCATTCTACACAGAGTTTCTGGAAATGGAATAACAGAGAACGACGTATTTAAAATCTATGGAGCAGATGTAGTTTACAAAATTAAAATTAATATTCAAAAATATTTCCGACTGAAGAAAACAATGATTGAAATTGATTGGTGTTAACATAAAGAATATTCACAATATCAAATCACCACAAACTTCAACTTCACAACACACTTGAACTGTTCATAAAATTGATCAATTGATCAATCAATTATATTATTCTAAAGATATTGTTGGCAAAATACACAAAAAGAAACATGCGATAGCCATGCAAATTTCTAGATTTTTCAAATAGTATAAAAAACAGAGTTTGAAAATACTGTACAAAAATAGCAGGTTGAAAATATGCATATACTGTTTGCTTTAATTCATGAGATACTTTAGGTGAGGGCTATTTGATATCAATATGTGGAATAGGGGCAACCCTGGAGATTCTGAGGAGGGGGAATAAGAAAGAGTAAGGGGAGGTCAAGTTTGACCTAAAAATCCCCAAACTATGTTGTAACACACCACAAAGTGAAGCTTTTTTTAGGTTTTGAGTATTGAATCCATTCACTAAAACTTTAACTTCTTAATGTCATGTTTTACACTGCATTATCTTACAAAACGCTACAATGGGGAAGGGTTGGGCCACCCTAATATGTTAAGGATGGAAGAGGAATAGGGAAAAGGTGAATGTGTAAGGGGGAGGGAGTAAGAACAGATTCAGGAATAGCCATCCCCACATTTTAACATGGAATAGCCCTGATATTTTAGATCATGCAAATGAACATGTACAGAAAACATAATGTACATGGGACCTTTAATTCTTAAAAAAGATAACCAATCCAAACAAGATCTTATCTAAAGAGATCTGATTATATTAAAAAGCACAGCACAGGTGGTAACGTAACAAGAGCTTCAATCTTTCACCATTGTGAATTTTATGGAATTTTGTTAATCAATAATGAATTAATTTGTTAGTAAATAGATCTTCTATTTTTCCATGTGATTAGATCCCCTAAAACAGCTGCTCAGTAAAAGCCATCCTCCGATCACAGGGCTCCAAAATCCAGAATACATTCTTTCTTTTTACCTCCTGCGATAAGCAGTTACCATTTCCCCGATTAAGGACTCGCAATCTGATTGGCTGTCGGAACACTGCGACAGAAATCATGTATAAGTCATCGCGTATAATTAGATCATGTGATTCAGTTAAATCGGGCGCTTCCAAATTGGTTATAGCAGGGGGAAGAAGGAGGTACGGATTCTGGATACCTGCTTAGGAGGATGAGTAAAAGCAAATTCATATTTTTCATAAATCAAAGTTTTGAGCTCAGAAAAAAATTACGCACCTTGAGTCTGAATAATGTGAAATTAGCTGAACAGTTGTCACAAGGCATAGTGATGTCAGTACTGTGTGATGTCAATGCTTTGTGATGTCACTACTTTGTGTATATAGGGGTCTAGAAAGTCTACAAGGAGCACATACGACATAAACACATGTTGTAGAACAAAATATTTTGGGGTCAAACCAAAATGTCAACTAAATTATTGAATAAATAAAAAATAAAGTATATGATAAATTATTAAACTTATGAACAGTGTTCTTATATTTTTGGTTCTTTATTTTTTACATAATATATAATTAATTTTCTAAAATGACATTTTGGCAACTGACCCATTTAAAAAGAACATCTAATAAATAGAACATCTAAAAAATCTACAGCACAAGAAATACTTGTAAAAAACAGAAAAATAATGTAAAATGATTAGGCATGGCTTAAAGGCAGAATCAGATCTATGGGCTGTATGACAACAGTGTAAGAAACAATTGACCAACCAAATTGAATATTTTCCTTATGATCTCAAATATAATATCTCCCCAAAGAACTGTGATATGTAAATTGGTGAAAATATTTGAGATTCTAAGTGCAAAAATGGGGGGGGGGAAATGTTTGATAAATCTGCAACAATCACTTTTAAAGAATACGTAATTGTGAGAGACAATCTTTAGATTTCCTCAAGAAAAGTATGCACTTTAGGTTTGCTTAGTAAATATACATGACAATGACAAAGCCAAAAGTATTCTTAATTTCAAAACGTTTTGTTACGATTCCTTGCTAGATCTGATTCTACCTTTAAGGTCATTCTTGTGAGTGTGAGGCATAATCTAGAACTAAAAACCATTTTCAGGTAAGGTTTATTACAAATGGGAAGACACTCAATTTGACACTGAACATTCCAGTGGTTAAGGGCATTAGCATTTTTTTAGTTCCAAAGTAAACTTTGTCAGCACTTGAGGCCTTCTAATTTATTTCACTAAACTTTTGTTGATTCTACAATATGTTGTCCAAAAATCTGAATTTAGAATATTAATCAGGTCATGGGCATTCAATCTATTGAAAGCCCTTGATCAGATTTATCGGAGTTTTGATCTATTTTTGCATATTGTTGCGTGTCATTGTAAATTGTAGCCCAAATACTTATCAGTCAATGGTTTTTTGTTCCCTTTAATAATGTGTTGCAATAAGTCTACCCTTCTTAAATAACAAGTACAAGTAAATAAAAAACACATCAAGATATTTTAAAATATGCCTTCTAAAGGTCATGCAGCTTGGCCAATCACCTTTGAAATATTTGTCAGCAAGTAATTTAAACATGCTGCATGAGATAATCATGTTATGAATTTACACATTTTGTTATCAAGGCATATGCAGTAAAACATGTAAGTGAAATGTCTTTTGTATCTCAAAATTAAGTTTTACTTGGGAGGTGTACTACATGTACCGAGTTAAATCAGTACATCAGTATATACGACTTTTTTTTATCAGACTTTTGAATACTCGTATTTCACTGATGGCGAGGCAGAACTTTCAAGCCTGTAGTCAACTTTGTCAAGGGGGTGGGGTCACTTTTCAAAAAATTCCAGGGGAGTGCATGTTTGACAATGTTGGCCCAAAATTACTTAAAAAGTGGTTAGAAAGGTGAAAAACTGCACAATTTGAAAGAATTTTTAGCCAAGGGGATTAGATTCACTTGAAAAAATATGATGGGAGAACTCCCCAAACCTCCCTGGATGTGGGGCTGACTTAGATGTGCTCCACTTAACAGGTTTTATTGTTCATTAATATGCTTTGATTGTATTCAACCATCTGGATGTTGATTAAAGTCTTTTTTCTTACCTTTCGTTTAAAAAATGTAAAGTCAGTTGCACACGCTACACATGACATTATAGCGACAGCATTGCTCTTGATGATTTGACGTGACCCTGTTTGCTGGGGTTTCACAGCCCCGTTCCCCATCACAGAGAGACACCTATAACACATAGTGGCAGAAAAACAGAATCATTATCAGGGCTCTCATCAGGAAATATTAAGGGTGTGGTGCTAACATCTTAAGAATAACCGTTCAATCGTGATAAATCATATTTATGTTATGTTTTATACTTTTTACATGCAATTATTGTATATTCAGTCAAGTTTAGACTGTGGAAACAGTCATGATTTGCCAATAGGATGTGGAGGGAGCTAAATAGAGTGTGGTGCTGCGCCACAGTCTAAAAGCCTGGCGAGTGCCCTGATCATATCTGAAAATGAATGTGAGTTTATTGGTGATGTGTGTGTATATGATTGGGACAGGTTTATTGAGTTGGGTCAGGGTTGGGACATGTAATACTCATGAATATGTAACAAAGGATGATACAAAATTCTGTGATATAACCAAACATAGACCTATAAAATATTCCATACAATTTCCTTGACAACTTTAACCCTAAAAATTAAGAAATGTATATAATCACCACATGACTACTTAATATATTGTGAAACTCTGCTAAATATGACAGCGGAGACATTTTTCTCAGGAAAGAAAACAAAAAAATTGAAGAGATTTTTCCATTTATCCATTTCCAGTATTACACAAAAAGCAAACATTGTGATTCTAGTTTGTTGCTTTTCACAACTTCTTGTTTACAAGTTTAATTTAAGGGCCAGTCTTATTTCAAGACATTATTGCAGGTCTTTATGTATTGATAAGTCAAATGACATAAACTGTCTAGCTCACAAGTGTTTCAAACCTTATCATTTTCATAAATGCTTGTAAGATGGGAGTTTGTTGGGTGCATAGACATTTAACAAACGTAGAGATTTAAGTAGAGGTTTGACAAGTGGAGTTACATAATGACATGCAATGTTACGCCTTTCTTCACACATACTGCTTTAGATACTATACATGGCATGGTCAAAATATCATGGTAACTAAGTGCCATATATTGTGGTCATACATGTATTTCAGAATTGAGTTTAAACAGGTATCAGCTTTATATATAACTTGTCTTAAATGTTTTCTATTTTTTAAACCAAAAGTGTAGTATTGCTTCAAACATAATGTTGAACTAGAATAATACCCTCATCTTAATTCCCAAGGTTTACCGGAGACTTTTGGTTTTGGTCTTACAAAAACTTACAAAACACACAAGAAGTGATCAAGATATGAGTTCTATCTTTTGGATTGCTTTTTATGATTATATAGCAAGTTTAAGGTTCAGCTGGAAAGTAACATTTTGGTAAAAAATTGCTCTACCTGCACATGTTATTTTCTGGTACAAAATTAGGTATGAAGGCATGTGTGTATTTCCTTTCTTTTTTCAGGAAAACATCATTACACTGTCTACTTTTAGTAAACCTGGAAACAGGCCAATGGTAGGTCCTGTGTCATCAGAAAACTTTTAAAGAAAATTGGGAAAAATAGAAAGTGTGAAATATCAGAATTTCCTGGAGTTCCCATTGAACTCCTACCAGATATTCTAAAAGAAGACAATGTAATGATACTTTCCTAAAAAAAGCAAGGAAATTGACACATCATACTTTATTTTGTACCAGAAAATAACATGTGCAGGTATAGCAATTTTTTACCAAAATGTTATTTTCCAGCTGTACCTTAATGTTAGACAGTAATGACATTTTCAGTTCTGATTGTTGGAAAATATTGATATTGCATTCTGGGAGCTAATCAATCCTCCTTGAAAAATTCATGACGTTTTGATTTTGAGCACACATTGATGCATATTACAATATGCGCAAAATTCGTTTTTCTGATTCATAGACAATTCGTTCTTTAGCTAAGTCTTATTTTTGGGTTGTACTAAATACCACCTAGGTGCCCCACACCTAGGTGTCCCCATTGAAATGCCTTACTGGCATATTTTACTACTTTATTTCAACATAACATTTTTCCAAGTGTTAATATGGTACATAATAAAGTATTTACATGGAACTTGTGTAAATATTTCTGTTTGTTTATGATATTTTTAATTGTCTTGAAAATTTTGATAGATGTCGAAAAAGTCATTTGTAAGAATAATATTTCATTATTTGCTCACTATGAAATGCTACAAAGTCACTATTTTAGCAACTTAAGTAAGAACAATATATATATTTCAAATATAAATGCACACTTTAGCATAAATGGTGTTTTATTACTACAAATAAGTAACCATACATATGAGCAAAATTTTTCAGGTGCCCATTTTTCTAACACAATAAAACTTTTAACATTTTATTTTCGAATCTTCTTTGCTATATTCTCGACTACAAATAATTATTTCAAGCCTATTAATGTCAAGTTAATATGACAAAGGAGATAATACTATATTTAAAATGTGTACGTGGTTTAAAATGGAATTAGAAATCCAGGTGCCCAAGGGGACACCTAGGTGGTATTTAGTAACACCCTTATTTTTCAAGATCAAAGTTGTGAAAAACATGGTATCAATTTAGCCCTTCTACATGTAGATCTACTAAAAACTGTAGTACTTTTTGTCATCTTGACATTCTCTAGGTGACCTGAAATACAGTTTATCTTATAAAAACAAAACAAATACAACTTGTCTGTCAGTCAAACTCAAATCAATCAGCAATGCCATGGCACTGGCAAAAACACGAAAATGGCAAATAAAAATAAATAAAAATTGGATAGGCATTGGACGAAAACGGAGAGCCAAAGCTGACCAAATTTAATCTTAACAAGACGACTAGATATCTAAGGCAAATTTAATATGGTTTTAGTGTAATTGTAGTTGCAGATTACCGAGATTTGTGTTAAATTTGAGAAAAAATAAAAATTCTCACCACTTCCTGATTGTTATGAAGATGACGTCATATCCCTTGAGCAATAACAAATATTTTTTACTTGATGTTTATCATCGTTTTAAACTATATCTTGGCAAAACATGTATTTTAATATAAAATCACGTGATATTTTAAATTAATAACAGAGTAAATCGTGTCTATCCATTTCTTGTCTGTAGTTTGTTATCAAAAGTCCAATGTCACGTGACTTCTGGGAAACTTGAAAATTTATCGCAAGTTCAATCTCTGTTTTAGCCAAGATCATTGCGCTTTCTGAGACTAAAGGTGCTCTATATACTTTGTAAGTATTTACTTTTTGATTTCAAATAATATTTCAGCACGAAATACTTAAGGGACGCCATAAAAACATTGATATTAAAAACCTGGAATTCCCAGATAAAAATTTCGCAAATTTTGCAAAAATGGGCCGATGTTTTGCCTAAATTTTAAATTTTTATCAAATCTAGCAAAGATCATAATTCTAATTGCAATTTTCGTTCTATTTTTCTGTTATATTATTTATTTTGTTTTACTTACTTTGTAATAATCGTGATTTTATCATATTAGAGAAATAATCATGATTCATGGGCTATTTGTTTGATTTTTGTCATCACAACTTCAGCAGGCAGGGCTTTTCACGCCTTAACGTTGACATTCATTACCCCGAAACCCAATATTCCAAACACAATACTCTTAAACCCAATACCCCGAAACCCAATGACACGACTGACACGATAGTCTAACATACGTTTTTTTGTTATGATTTAATTGAAATAGCAAGTCACATATACAGCACACCATTAGCAAGCTTATCTTGTCTTCTTAATCTCCTTTCTTGCAGTAGTGAATCAAACGATGTGGGATTCAGAATTTATGATAATAAATGATAAAATTTTACAGACTGACAATATAACATGAGTGTCACCTAATTATCCCACCGAACAAAGTTTGAGGTAGATATAGGTTGGAAAGCCATTTGTCCGTCCGTTGGTTACATTCAGCTTTTGCCTCACAGTTCTAGTGGAACTGTCACCATGGCAAATCACCAAGATCTGAGTCCAAAATTGTTCTTTGACATCTAAGGAAACACTTTCGTTTTGTTAAATGTCAATCTTTTGTGCAAATAATTACATCCTCTATAGAATGAATTTATTGCTTCTCATGGATGCTGAAGAAAGAAGATCTGTTGAACTTATATTTTTCCAAATAAGTCCCATTTTATCTATTTGACTACATTTTCTAAAAAATTTACAGAAAAACAATAACAGTACCCTTTTTTATTTTGTCTTTTATACAAAGAAAGTCAGAATTTTTCTTTATAGGGCTTCACACCCCAGGTTTACATCAGCTTTTATTTATGAAAAACAGATTCGCCTTTATAAGAATATACATGTATAATCAAATTTTAAAAGGAGTTTCATTCAGATAGGGGGGGGACTGTTAAAAGCCTTTGCCTTCAAACATAACATTATACCTTAAATAATCAAAAATCAATTTCTCTTTGAGTAGCCATATATAATCTAATTTAAAAAGATAAAAGTTTCATTTGCATAAATTTAAAATATGCAGTTGTTATTGGTTCATGTTAATTAGGTTTCTTAACTCTCCACTTAATTTTAAATTTAATCTGATTCTCTCTATATGCATCATTGTATGTAATTTAAATCCAATTAAAAGAATGTGGCTCATTTGCAGCATTAAAAATATTCTGATTTATTTAATCTTACTATCTAGTGTTCTTTCCTCAATATTATCACATTTTTGTAGATTATGATTGCAATTCGGAAAGCTTATTCTTAATCAAATCAGACATGGATTATTACTTCAAGTTGTAAAACAAGATTTTACTTTTGAGTAAAACTGTCTCTTCGAAATTTATTGAAAGGAATCTGGTAAGTTGATTTCATAACTTATTTTTTCTGCTTGTCGTAACATTTACCTAGAATGCCCAAAAATTGTTCCTACAGTAGGTTGCATCATGGGCATTCAACTTGTTAGATGTTCAACTAGTTGAATGCCCATGGTTGCATACAAAAAATCATCCCAGAAAATAAAGTCATGGTGAAAACCATTACGTATTTGGAAGGAAGAAATATCTGGTGAAATCATTGAAATATAGAGAATACTGTACATGTGGAGAAAAAAAGAAACAACACAAATTAATTTTTTGATTCCACTGGAATTTTCACGGAAATTGATCAAAATTCAGAATTCTGCAATTCCGCATTTTGGATTACCCATGTATGAAGTTTTCATACCTTGGAATCTGAAACTAAAATCCCTGCTGGTTTTGATGAATTATCATTTTATTGAACTTACATCATGCTTATTCTTATGTATAAGGTAAATAGAAGCTGAGCAGTCAACCTCATTAGTATGCAATTAAGGGCAGTTAAACCATGGTTAAGGAGGAATTTGAATAGATCCAATGAGATCTTAGATAACCCAAACAAATTATCTGATTCGTGCAGGTTAAATACAGGGCACAATCAGATGATTGTTGATTTTTCATATAGAAACTAGTTCCTCGATCAATGTGCAGAAGAACACACCAGTATAATTTTAGAATATTATATGTATACCATACTTATATACCCATAGAGGTATAGGCGTATAATATATTATGAAATGAACCCACATGCCATAGCAGAAAAGTACTGAAATTGAGGTATTTTTATTTCAGTTGACATTATAACATTGATGATGTATTTTTCAGTATTTTCCATGCAAAGTTAACTTAGCAGTGATCTCCCCAGTGTTAAAGCAAGTGGGCTTAGCACCCACCTGATATTTTAAAAACAGGCTTACGCCCACCTAAAAATCCATTTGCACCCACTTGAAAATGAAAAGTATCATGAAAAATAGGCATATTTTGACCAATTTCCGTCTGAATTGTTAAAATGAGAGTTTTGCACTAACTTGAGAAAAATTACTTATGATTATGTTATGTTGTTAGAATTTTTTAAAAACCTCAAAAAATATTCATCATTTTATGTCACCACCACAAGTTGTGACACATTGTTATGTTCTGTTATGTACTTTTTATTGACAGTGTTGAGCTGTTGGTGTTTGGTGGTTGTTATTTGGCAGTTAATATCCAACATCTATAACAAATGGCAGGTGGTGCATGTTGATGCCTTGTTTTATCATAAGAGAGGCAATTTACATTGAATTACAAAGCTTCTATACATTTTTCAAATTTCTGTTTGTTAAACTTACATTTGTTTCTTGTTCCTATATTTAATCAACTTTGTTTCTAATTTCCTAACTGTTTATTGTAAAATTTCATTCATATGGGATTTATAGTTTAAATCTGTCAAATGATTAAATAAATAACGGAATTATAATATTAAATAATGTTTGATCAAAATCTCAGCAGTCAAAATGTTGAGACATGCGCAGAGCTCTATTTAGTGATATTTTCATTTCAAATATGGCGGCCAATCCGATGTCTGACGACCCTTACAAAGAATCTAGGCAGTGTGCATTTTTACCTCCTGTGAAATAACAAGTGGAATTTAGTAGTTGTTTTGTGTTTTATTATCATTCTGCATCGTAATTCTATGTGATGTGGTGTTGAAATGTCAGCAGAAATACATATCCATACGATAATCTAGTGAATCAGATAACAGATTTTTCGAAAACCCGTCTTGTGCTAAGAGTGTAAAAACTTGTATTAACATGCTCAAAAGTGCCAATGTGCACATCAATGTCAAGCTATATCAATGTTGTGTCTAAAACAGGTACTTCGTCTACTCAAAACAGCTTGTCATTCACGTATACACGCTTAGCAAACACGACGAAATGATCTGAATCTTGGAATTTCGTTCGAGAGCTAGTAATGTTTGCTCCGGTCTTCGTCATAAGTGTTCATCAGACTTCACGCATGCTCATGAGAAAAACCATCAACCAATAACGTTTATAAATCAATTTTGCGCATGCGCCTTACAACGGTAAAGAAATTTGTATTTATAAACGAACCAATTTGAGATAACCCGATATCAGTCGGAGAAATCTGACGATCTACGAAACTCACTTCAAAAATTCAAATGCGGACTGACGGCGTATTCTACTATGTTTGGATCTAAGATTTTCAGTATAGATAAAGTCTTTTATGATCTTTCGAATGAGGTAAGTCTCTAGTTCGAAAGACAATTCCTATCAACTTAAACAAAAGTTGAGTTTTGACGAAAAATTTTAACATGCGCAGAAGTCCCATTTTAGTTGTACCATATTGACTGTCAGCTTTCTATTGAAGTTACTTAAATTCAGCATTTTGCAAATGAATCGTGGATTGAGTGTGACATTATAGGAATCATGTACTGGGAGGTTTTGCATTCAGGGTCAGTCTCTGGGGAAATATGTGTTATCTCCCTCTGTGGCTCTGCTGTCTGTCGGGAGTATATAACAGATCTATCCTATACCTATTTAGTAGGTTATCCTGGGACATTGATATTATACCTTTTTGTTAAACATTGATTTTAAAGCTAAAAATATATTGTTTGAATAATCATATACTAGTATTTTTAACTTTTGATTATTCGAATAAACATATTTTATCCAAATAATTTTTGAATTTCTGATAGTAGATGTACTAAATATATATTGGCATATATATATAACATATATCCTATCCGCTGGTGACTGGCTCTGGCTGACACAGTAATCAAGTGGATTCAACCTTTCCTTGAACATAATTGATTTTGCCAAGGTTAAGGTTCTAAAGTTTGATGATATTAAATGTATCAATGATTAGTTATGACGTTTTCCAGACAATGAGATATAGTCTTATACCACTTTAGCTTTGTAAACTTTCCTCATTTGCTTTAAATCATTTAAAAATAGAACCCAATTCTACAGCTGGAATTAACATCAAAAAGTATAGATTTTACGTCAAGTGATTTAATTCCTGTGAGTTTCACTCTTATTCAATCAATTGAGAGAATGAGGATATGAACTTGGTGAAATTGAAAGTGTGATTGTTTGTATTACAAACATGTCACCAAAACATCAGCTCTGATGGTGTACATAGTTACTATATACAAGAGGAATGATTTTTATTTGAATAGATCAAATGCCCAATACTAGACATAACATTTACAAAATACTGTAAAGTATTTCATTTAACTGCTTGAAGTTTGAATCATTAAAAATCCTCTGAGATTTGTGAGAAAAGGAACATAAAGATTTTTATCAGCTGTTTGAGATGCTGTTTCATTGATGTTTTAATTAGTCTGAATTCAATAGAATTGACTATTGGTTTACAAAGATCAATTTCTGACTATTCCAATGCAACTCACTTTAAATCTGTATGTATAATATATATTGTCCAATCTTATATATTTATCTTTAAGGTGTTCTTACACAAAGCTAGGATCCTAGCACAAAGCATTTGTTTTGCTTATTTTCTTAAAATCAACATTTTCTAATATTTTACATCCATACATACACTATGATAGTAATGCATCTGGCTCCCTATATATTCTCAAACTTGGTTTGGTATATGTGCTTTTGTAGGATTTGGATATGGATGAATATAAGGTTGCAATGCTATACTAACTATGTATACTGACTAGTACTATTGGAGATTAATTTATGAAATTGAGATTGTAGTTGCATTTTTTATGATCTCTCTGCCTACAATGTAGCAGATAGCACCTATATAATGAATAATGTAAATGGATGGTGAATAGCCAGTTGAGAAATTGTAGTTAATAATTTGCATCAACTATATCCCATTGTCTCTCTAAGGAGATGTCTCTCAACCTGGGTTGGTTCTTTTTATTTATTTCATATAAGTCTCCCTTGACTTTAATACCCTATAGTGTCAGAGTCTACTACATGCAGATAAAGCTCTCTTTTAAGGAAGAAAAAAGGGTAGACTGTAAATCTTGTAAATCTTGCAAAACTTGTAAATCTTGTAATATCTTGTAAAGTTTTAAGGGACTATTCATTTGATATCAATGTCAGTCTTTATGAGGAGTATTGGGATATAGTTCTTTAAAAAGAGCAATGCATTATTATCCCAACGAACGAAGTTCAGTAGGGTAGAGTGAAACCCTCCGCCTGTCCATCCATCCATCTGGAAAAAACATAGAATAAATAATATATCTCACCAAAGAGTTAGATAAAGTTAGACTGATGAATCAGATCGAATGGTTTATTGCATATCAAGAAGTAAGGTCATTTCCCATAAAATTATAAAGGGTGCATGTAGATCGCAAAGATGAGTACCCAAACCATGCTATCAAATACCTGTTAAAAAATGCCATACCTGCATTAAAATTCAGAGTCATTCCTTTCATCAAATAATCAATATACAAAATTATACCAAAATTTGCTGATATAATAATGGCTTTAAACTATTAATTACAATTAAGGAAAAAATTGTTGATTAAATACGTAGCCATTTTTTAATAAAGGGTTTCAATGAAATGGAGATTATATAACACATCTAAAATGCCATTACTTGAGACTTACCCTTTATCCTACAGTTCAACACTATTTTATCATCTTCTTCCAAAAATATTTATGTAAACATCTGATGAGAAGTTTTTTGATAATTTTCCAAAATTATCTGGTACATGAGAGTTAACTTTAGGCTGGGTAAGGAATATATCATAATATAAACATAAATTGAAAGCATTATAGAAATATACTATCCTTTATGTATACTAGGGATAAAGCAAATAGATCAATCAGTTGTCTAGTCTAGCTCTTCCCCTTACTGCAGAATTTGATTGTGTTTTTGGCTCACACAGTGAGCCTATGGGATCGACCAGGCGTCCGTCCGTCCGTTGGTCCGTCCGTCCGTCCGTTGGTCCGTCCGTCAACATTGGCCGCACAAATTAAAACTGCTATTCGGATTGAGTCATATCCACATTCATTTTATGCATATCCATAATGCCTATTTGACCTATCATCGCCATTTCCCAAGTTCGCCCGGTTTCCGAGAAATTGCTGATTTTGACGTCAAAAAGTCAAATTTTCTGTAAATACTAGACACTTTGTTGAAGTAGAACTTTCAAATAACTTGTAGTAGTTGCTGTATATGCAACTTATGTCCTCTGAAGATTTCAAAGCTCTTGGAATTACAGCTTTTGGTGTTTACTCTATAAAATTTGACAAAAAGTGGGACTTAGTCATTTTCAGGAAACTTTCTTATGTATAAAGTCAATGGCAGGTTTTGTGATTGACAAGTTTTTCAAAGTTTGCCTTATACTTGATCATTTCTTGCAATGAATTACATCATAACTAGATTTAAGCATTCCCTACATATTGCTCAATATATGTCAGCATCAAATTTTTACCGTTTTTGAGATATTTGACGTCAAAAAACAGTAAAAATAAGTTATTTTTCAACTTGCTTCAATTTGACCAAATTTTTTTTTGAAAATCATCTACAAGTTACAAGGAATTCAAATCTGACATTAGTTTTAGGATTTGACCATTACCTGACCTTCAGTGACCTTTGAAAGGTCAAAAAAGTTGATTTTTCAAATTGATTTTTGGATGTAAATTTTTGTCAGCTTAATCACAAAAGACCTTACTGAGCTCTAAATAAGTAAAATTTTCAAGGTCAAAGGTCATCAAACTAGGTCACACAACTGTGCTGTCTAAGTTTCTCAAAGTTCGAGACCACAAATTCAAATCAATATTTTTGTTTGAAAGTCAGGATATACATTCCTCTGAAGGTTCCAAACTGTGTGAGCACAGGACCGTGGGTCCTATTTTTATATATTATTTCTTGGGGTTTGTAAAAATCAACATTTTGAAATTGTCAATTATCCATTTCCCATTGGAACTTCTACAAATATTGTCAATTAAACAGCATCGCCAAACAATAAGCAACAATTAGTAAATTATCTGATTATCATTCTGATACTCATATCATCTTTCTGTTTCACCTGAAACATGAAACCTGAAACCCCATCTCAGGGCTGAGAAGATTTGAGATGTCATGGTTTATCATGATGTCTGATTATAAGCATTATAACATTTTGCATGGGAAAACGAAGCCTAAAATGTTAAGATGGTACCATTGTCCCCTTCAGTCCTTTAAATGTCTTGCTTAATTTGTTTGTTAATATAGCATGCTTCTTGGGTGGGTTGTGTATGACTCACCAGATATAAGAATGCCAATTCGGACCACACTCTGCGAAGATGAAATATTGGGGGGGGGGGGTTGTATGGCAATGCTAATTTAAAATAATTAAATAAAAGGAGATGGATCTATCTGGAGAAAATCTACTTTTCAATTTAAGAAAAAGTCAGTATTTTGTGTAATGTAATTTCTGGAGTTTCATGAAAGTGTTCCTATCAAAATAACTCACCAGATATAAAGGTCTGCCCCTAAATATGCTTAATGTCATACTCCATTGAATCTGAATGCCCTTAAATGTGTTTAGGTCATGCATACATCACAATATAACTTCTATTCATACATTCTAGTTCAATTTCATGCATTCTTGTGTCAGTTACTTACATTCTTGCATAACTTGAATCTATTGTATTGTCATCCTGAATCATAGCAAAGTGAATGCTTAAACTATAGTAAAAGTTCATCCAGCTCAGAGAAGGCATAGCTGTGTGGGAAATTGGACTAATACATGTAGTAGCAATAGTATTGAAAGGCAAATAAGCTAAAATAAATCACTTAAGTATTGTGGATAAGGTGAGGTTTAACAAAGAAAGTGTAAGAGCAAAAAAAATTTAGAGCATTATTTATATTCACTGTTCTCAACAAAAATGAAGATGTTGCGAGTATCAAAGAGTATGTTTGAGTAGCATCATCTACATATATTTTTAAACATACATGTCCATGCAGTTAATGAAAGAAGCATGATACCATAGAATAAAAAGCTTAGTTTAACCTTTGTGCGACGTACATTGTATATACTGTATATATGTGTCTTTTTTCAGAGTGCTTGCTTGCCTATATGGCAGGATGGTATCTCTATGACAGGATGTGATGATCAGTGACATCAAGTTATCACAATGGCACAATCTCCACTGACAGCTGGTGTATTGAAGGTAATCAATTATTGCATTATTTAATGCTGCAAAGGGAGGTGGAGGGGAGCATGAGGGAGGGGAGGTTTAAGAAATAATCCAAGTGAAGACAATGAGTAATAAGTGTAAGCATTTATTGATCGCCATATTATTTATCTAACTAAAAGCAAAATTCTTTTACGAGTAAAAAATTTAGGAAAATGTTCAAAATTGACACAAATACCACAATTTTCAAAATTCTGAACAGCAGTTAATGCTATCAAGTTTTCAACTCTGTGGAGATTCTTCAATGCAAAGAAGATTGCAGTTGCATATTACCTTGTTATTTCAGGACCTGTTCAATGGTTTGAAACCTAGGCGTCCAAGACTTCAAGTCTTGCAGCATGATATTGACCATAATAGAGGCCTCATGGAACTGCACAGGATTATACTCTCAGATGGGGTCTTTTCAGACTCATGTGAGTATTGCTGAGTTGTGGCATATGAGTTGAGATGTCATATAAGTATTTATTCAGTAATTTACTCAGTAAATATGTCATGTGAGTATTTACTCATTGGTCATGTATTGTGAGTTTACTCAGTAGAGATGTGTTGTAAATATACTCAGTAGACATGTCACATGAGTAATTACTCATTAGATAAGTCATTTGAGTATGACAGTACTTATTCAGTAGAGATCATATGTGCATATTTTTTACCTGTAGTAAAGATGTCATATTATTTTCTCATTACAGTTTGTTAGATGTACCATGTTCTACAGCCAATTGACTTAAAAAAAACACTTTAAGGCAGCCATCTTGTTTTCTGGCAGCCATATTAGTAGTATCATCTCACAAGTCACAGTATGTATTGTCTATGATTGTTATTTCCAGCAATACTCATTGGTCATGATTTAGTAATGGATTTGTACCACAACCCACTGCCACCTGGCTTGGTCATTGAACTGCTGCAATATGAACTCTTCCAATGGCCACCTACTGGACCCCCAACGGGGCAGTAAGTTTTTATTAAATTATTTGAAAACATTCATTTTTAAGTACATACGTATGAATGTTTTTTTGTGGGAGTTCGAATTATAAATGAATCAATGAATTGACTGATTTTCAGGCTGTTTCAATGGATTGACTGATTTTCAGGTTGTTTCAATGAATTGACTGATTTTAAAGGTCGTTTCAATGAATTGACTGATTTTCAGGTTGTTTCAATGAATTGACTGATTTTAAAGGTCGTTTCAATGAATTGACTCATTTTTAGGTTGTTTCAATGAATTGACTGATTTTCAGGTTGTTTCAGTGAATTGACTGATTTTCAGGTTGTTTCAATGAATTGACTGATTTTCAGGTTGTTTTAATGAATTGACTGATTTCCAGGTTGTTTCAGTGAATTGACTGATTTTCAGGTTGTTTCAATGAATTGACTGATTTTCAGGTTGTTTTAATGAATTGACTGTTTTTCAGGTTGTTTCAATGAATTGACTGATTTTCAGGTTGTTTCAATGAATTGACTGTTTTTCAGGTTGTTTCAATGAATTGACTGATTTTAAAGGTTGTTTCAATGAATTGACTGATTTTCAGGTTGTTTCAATGAATTGACTGTTTTTCAGGTTCAAGCTGATGGTTGGGGATATCAGGATACTCTTTCAACCTGGAACAATTGTTGGTAATTATTGATTTTAGTTATTTTTCCATCAACGATTGGGGAATATAAAGAATGTCTCTGTCCATCTGCAATGTATCTGTGGTTCCATTTTTAAATCCATCCATGTGTCCATCCATCCATATATTCACCCATCCATCCAAATGTTCGTCCAGCCATCCATCCATCAATATATTCACCCATCCATCCAAATGTTCATTCAGCTATCTGTCCATTTGTCCATCCCATCCTTTCCAAAAACCCACCCACCAATCCATGTTTTACCTTGAAAAGTTATAGAGCGATTTTGTTGATATTTATATGCCCAGTATTTTAGTACAAGTTGATGCTCAAAATTGGTTTTGAAAATGGCAACTGAGTTGAAAATGGCTGCCATTCTAGTGCCATTTTAAGTAAAATTTAGTAAACTTATTAACAATCTTTTAATGCAAAAAATAGTTTATGATGTTGATTAAGGTTTTTATGCAATTGGTTGTTGTAGGTGCACCAGGATTTGACAGACAAGGAAGACCAGCTGCATATACCTCAGCACCAAAACCAATGCCAGTCCCGAACAAGGCAGGTCCGATGAAAAATGATCCCAGAAATTTCTTTAAAGCCAATAAACCTCAAAATGATCCATCCCCAATGAATCGATCTGGGCCACCCACAGGAAAGAAAATGACAGGTCCCAAACAAACCCAACATGATCAACCAGATGGTCTGCTAGAGAGGGTTCAGAGTGCACATAGAGAGGGCAAGAGGGAGCAGATTAATAATTCCCAGAATCAGGGCGCTGTGGGTCAAAAGTCCCAAAATCAGAACCAAGACCAAAAGTCCCAAAATCAGGCTCCTGCAAGTCAAAAGTCCCAAAATCAGGCTCCTGTAGGACAAACAGCTCAAATGCAGGCCTCTGGTGGAAAAAAGCCCAATAAGGGAAGAAGGCCTTCCATTGAAGGTACATTATATGCCTTTTGTATTCACAATTTATTGAACATTTATTAATTGAACAGAACTAGTTTCAACCCAATACAAACAACTTCATGAAATGTCTTATTGTAATTAACAAATGCATTAAACAACCTTAATTTGCAAAATGATTTATTTACTTAGAAAAAAATAAATAAATAATACCTGGTGAAGCAAGTATTTGTGATGCCACTTTGTATCTCCTTGCTAAGTTCAAGAAAAGTTTATCAATATTTTGAATTTCAGATAAAACTGATATTGTATAAGATGACATATGTTAAAGTGTTAGCTATGGTGCATTAACTTACATCATACATTGTGTTTTAGCTGAAGAGTTTGTACCACGCTGGAAAACTTTGAAGCTTGAAGGGAAAACAGCTGTTGAGAAAAAGGACTATGCAACTGCATTACAGCTATATTCACAGGCAATTGAGGGTAAGCATGTTCTTAACAATTCTGCTATTATTGTTGAATTAAGATATTTTATTCATCATTTTAATAATTTAATAAATTTTAATAACGCAAATGCGAGTAGGTAGTTACCAGTTTCACCACCAGGTGGCTCGCTCGGGTCAGATAGCATGGCGGGTATCGTAGAAAGTTCCCTTTAACTTAAATTACATCTGTTTTAGTGGTTCAATTTTTATATAGCCCTTATGTATCAAATAGTTATGCAAATTTAAGTATGTCCAGTAAAGGAAAATGTTATATGTCCAACACAAAAAAGATATTTCACTTTTTGGGATTTTGTAATATGGGGCCTATGGGGAATCAACCCGAACTAGAAGTCCCATTTTCAAAAAAGATTAAATTTTCAAAGTTGATAAACAATTTTCGAAACCATATTTTTGAATGTATTTTTACATGTAGATTTCAAATATGACATCACTTTGACTGAATTTTAAATATTTAATGACGTAAATCAAGATCATTTCTACCCGCATCTTGTCTATTGGGTTAAATGTTCTGGATTAAGATTATGTTTTGATAATGGTTATAATTTTAAAGTTCAAGTGGTAGAGCACCTGACATGTAATCGGGAGGTTTTGGGTTTGATTTCCACCAGGGTGGAGTGACTTTTTCACATCAGCCCTTAGCATAGGATTTGATCCTAAGTTTTCAGATTAATGGTTATATAATTTTAAAACATTAATTTCATACATTTTTTTAGTATACCTGTCGCTAATGAAAACTGAATATTAGCATGATTCATCTGCATCTGATATCTTCAAATATTATGTTTGACAATAAAAGCAATCAAAAATATTCAAGGCTCTATTTCAGGAATTCATATTTCTGTTGATGTTTTAGGAGTATATATTAGTTTTCTGTTCATATTTCTATCTGTGTTTCAGGAATTCATATTTCTGTCTATATTTTATTCCATGAATTTGTAATTGTGTCTGTATTTCAGGAATCCATATTTCTGTCGACATTTCAGATGGGTATATTTGTCTATATTTCAGGAATCCATATTTCAGATGGGTATATTTGTCTATATTTCAGGAATCCATATTTCAGATGGGTATATTTGTCTATATTTCAGGAATACCTATGAGTGAGAGGAAAGAACGTGCAATACTTAAAAGTAATCGGAGTCTCGTGTACAGTAAGCTTGATTTCCCACATGAAGCCCTTGAAGATGCTCTTGAAAGTATTCGTTTAGATAAAGACTATAGTAAGGTAAGCAAGATTGGAGATCTTTTCTGACATATAGAGTTTGTACATGTACAAAAGATTATATGAGGGGTATACATACACAGTGTCTTCTTTCTTTCCTGAAAAAATGAACACAATTAAATTAGTATTTTCCAAGATATAGCGATTTTCCATTCACGTTTTTTTTTTGATTTTTCTAATACTAATGTTTTTGAGCCGGTGTCCAAGACATCATGTTTTACAACTAACTTACAACAGGAGCTATACATACATTGTCTCTTCTTTCATTGCTGAAAAAATGAATACAATATTTTTGGATATTAGTATTTTCCAAAATATAAAGCGATTTATTTGGGTTGCGTTTTTTTGAATACCCTGTATTTATATTAAATGACGAAGAGCCTTAATAAAATGTATGATTTCTACTTGCAGGGATACTGGCGAGCAGCTTCAATATTCCGTCAGCTAAACCAGAAGTTTGATGCTTTAGAATGCTTCTACGATGGTTCCTGTGTGGTGAGTCATGATGATCGAACCACCAAATGTGAGTTTCTCACAGAGATTGTGGTGCTCTGCTATGAGCTGAAAGGTATGTTCATGCTTATGTGCTACTCTTCATATTCCATTATCTCTAGCATATGATTATTACACTTTTGTGATTGCTACTACATGTAGGTGGTGGCATTTTATCACATTAATGTTTTGTTTTTGTGATGAACTATGTCCTTAGTCTCAAATATGAATATTTTACCACTTTCCAAAACAAAACACAGAACAATTATAATCACTTGTTATGTCACCACCAGACTTATGGTGTTTGGCATCCGTAACAGCGGTTGTTGTTTGGTGTGTAAATAAATGGTGTCTGTAACAAATGCCAGGTGGTGACATTTTTCAAGTAAATGCCTTGTATTTATATTTTGTTCCTTAGACTGGAAGAGAGTGAAGAGTGGAGACATTAAAGCATCCGATCAGACTTGGTCCCTTGTCATACTGGCACTTTCACGTAACAACAAATGGCGCGTTATGGCAACATTGCTCTATGGGAAGGATGGGAAATCTGGAGGATATGCAAGAAACTTAAGTGGTCGGATAGCAAAGATTGATGCTAGAAATGTGGAACTGACTAAACTTCTGACGGTATGTTCAGTAGTTTTAAAGACAACATATGCTTATCGTTACAATTGCATACCTATATTTTTAAACTACAGAGCACATTTGAAATTCAGATTTTTCTTCCACTGTACAAGTTGCAGTTTTGCTCAGGCTTACATGTACTTCTCCATCCTCTACTACATTTTATCACTCTCAAAGCAATTGTATGATTTGTCAACAGTTGGCCATAAAATATAAGGCCATAGTCATTGGTCATCAAATTCAAATTGCACAGGTATTTAACTCAATAGAATAATTATGTCATCACCAGAAGTGACATATTGTTATTGTCTCCCAACTTTTGTGGACAGTGTTTGGCATCTGTAATATGACATTTGTAACAAATTATGGCATATGTAAAAAATGGCTGGTGCTTTTTCTCTGTCATTGGGTTTTTGGGTTTGACCTTTATTTAAATCAATTTTACAAAAAGTTTAATATTTTAAGATGTCAAGTCAGATTGGCAAGTGACATTCAGATTTAATTCTTGATGCAGATGACGTCTGCTAATAATGTTGCATTATGGGACATAATTTATATTATTGTTTGATTGTAGGTTCCTCAAGAGGATCAGATTGTTCAGACATTAGCAGTGAGACTTCTAGAATGTGGGGCTAGTATAAAATCCATTACTCTGACATCTGAAGATACACCTTTACATGCAGCCCTTGAGTTAGCTTTCAAAACAGGTCAGTGAAACACTAAGCAGTCAATTTTTTAAAACAATTGTTTGTCAGCTACATTCAAAGGAATCCAGAATACATGTAGAATATTAAGGAATTGTCATAGGTCGCACTGTTTATAAGGAAAAATATGATAACTTTTTGCTAATTTTGAAATCCCTTATTCTGTAAAAAATATTGACACCTCTGAAATTTCTTTCAGGTAAACCAATTCTGCTGAAACATCTCCTTGAGAAGTATTACAAAACCAATGAGGAGAAAAACACGCTTGATAAGAATGGAGACTCACTCCTTCATGTTGCTGCAAAGCAATTCCGGAAAACACCAGCTGTTAAACTTACAGGTACATTTTATTATGAGTGCTGCACTGACTTGCTTTAATGTTGGGGAGATCACTGGTTTTAAGAATTTAATGCTTTCAGTCAGTTTATTTCATGTTGCACAGACTTCAACTTACTGTATATGAGGCAGTTGGGGCAAGTGCCTTTCCAAAATTTCACAGAAAGTATTTAATGTCCTACCAAGAAGTGATTAGAGGTTATAATGACCTTCATTGTTGTGACTGGCATTTGACATTGGAAGTGGCATCATTTTAGCATTTGCAATTTTCTACACAATGGTGATATTGGCTTTAATCCAGAAAGCTAGTAAAGTAAATCAAATAGACTTGTCTAACATTCAGATTCGACTATGACAAAACAAACTTGAGTTTTGGACATTGTGAGCTTTTATTTACAGGAATTCTCTTAGATAATGGCTTAGACCCATGCCTGAGTGATAAATGTGGTAGACTGCCACTGGACCATGTTCCCAAGGGAAATGAAAGCTTTCAACTTCTGAATAAAGCCATGCAAACACAGCAAAGTAAGTCTTAACCTATAAATTGAAATTAAGTCAGTAAAACCAGTAAAGTGGAAAACTACTGTAAGTGGATATAAATAACAGATATAAATATACCACTGTTTGTTCTATTGTGCACCATATCTACACAAGACAATTCAAGAATATTCAACCAAAATTGAGAAAATTACTCTTAAATTAGTGGGTTTCATTTTTTGGGATCACTCTGTAATACAATAATATATGAATACTTTTTAAGGTAAAAAGAAGCCAAAGACTCCAGCTACAGAAAGTTCTACCCGTAAGCAGGAGACGAATAACAACACAAAGCCTAAAACAAATACATGTCCATATCCAGCCAGACTACCCTCTGGAGACACCCTCAGAGCAGCTAATGAGGCCGCAGCTAAGTCTCAACAGTCAGCTAAACGTAATGAAACTTCTTCTGGTAACTTGACATTCCTATTTTTCATGTGCTGCCTATTTCAAAATTAACTCATTATTTATGTCACCACCAGGAGTGATGGTGTTTGGCAGTCAGTGGTTGGTGTTCAATGGTTGGTGTTGATCGTTTTGCATCTGAATAAATGTTCGGTGTGGGCATTTTTCATGTTAATGCCTTGTTTAGAATTATGATGTTATTGGTAGACTTTCATTTGATTTTGTGGCATGGGTATGGTCCTTTGATAAGTCTGCATAAAAATAGATAAAAGAAATTACCATATTCCAATCCATATAAGCATTGACACTTCGTTTGTAACCCAAACTCTTAAGTACAAATGAAAAGTGTATTAAAAAGGTATGACACTTGTCTTATCTGCACATATTTAGACACAACTCATCAGTTTTAAATATCATACAAAATCATTGACTGTGTGCCATGTTCTTAATAGGTGGAGCTAGCAAGGAGAGTGAAGACCCAAATCAAATCAAAGTGAAAAGACCAGATTGTAAGTCCAGTTTACTATGAGTGAAGACTAAATTAAATTCAACTAAATTTGTACATAAAGAATGACAAGATTTAATCAATACTTAATTTCTGTACCTACATTTAACCTAGTCTCAATATTAGTTCAATTCCACTAAAAATACACTTTCTGTCTATATACAAGTATCCATTTGAAACCAAAATCTAAAATTTTATTTTGATTTAATACAGTCTCTACACCATTCTTGGACCAGATCAGAGATGAAATTGGGGCTTTTAAACATGTCATCGCAGATTTCTTAGAGAAAGAACGACATCTGACAATGAGGCTGAATCTAGCTGGGGAGCAAATTGTGTTAAGCGATCACGGACCCATAGAAACAAAACAAGCCATCAAGGCCACTCAGAATCGTAGAATTGACATGGAACGCAATGTGAAACTTCTCAATAAGGTATACATAGAGAGAGAGAGGGATTGTATGTTGTGTTTCTTCAGAGGGATGATACGATATCTTCTGAGGGACCAAGAATCATTCTGAAGGACCCAATTTACAATCTGACTAGAGGATGCCTTTTTCATACCACCATGATAAAATGTCCACATTGAAATTAAGATTTTTTATCAAATTAAAAGTTGCATTGGACGAACATGTAACCAAAGAAAATAGGTCAGTCAAATTAGTGAATGAATGAGGCAAAATTATAAGTTTAAGGCCATACTACTTTAAGTCTTCATACATATTCTTTGTCTCAATGACATTAATGTTTCCCTGTAAAATTCTGACTTGCCTCAAATTTTCAGTTGCTGTCTCTCCATAGAACTTTGGACCAGAGAATATTCAAGGTGACATGTGGTAGTGGCAAAGACTCAATGGTGAACAATCCTCTTGGGGAAGATATGAAAGAATTATCTGAAGACTGGGAAAGGAAGTTCCATGAGGCTATGAGTCCCAGAGATTCTGCCCTTTTGAATGAGCTACTCCAGATGAACACAAAGCACGAGATGATGCAATCTCTCATATCATGCATTGAACATTATGTATTTGCATACCAGTATGCTTTAATCGAACACCAAAAACAAACAAAGGATGGGCCGGTGAAATTGAAAAAAGAAACAGCTTCAGATTTCTTCCAACATGGCCAAAATTGTATGATGATTCAGAATTATGCACTTGGTTTACAAAAATTTGTGCTGTGCTTACAAGAGGTCCGTATGAAAGACTCATCAGATGTGAAGCTGATAGAGCCTTGTTTGACATTCATACTCGACAAAATCATTCCGGAACTTCCCAGTGAGTATTCTCTTGAGTGTCTGAATGAATGCTGTTATTTCTAACATTTCAATTCTCAGTAATTTTTTCATTTTATAAACTTTACACCCAAAACTTCTAAATTTATTTAGGCATTTCAAGGAAATAAATCGTAACTTCCAAAGGCTGTCCATATTGTTTTTTCTTTCATTACATCAAATTGTGAGAAATAACAGCTTCAAAATCTAAAAGTATAAGGTTTCCTATGTTATGGACTAAACTAATTTATATTTTATGTAAAAGCATCTTTAGATCCAGACTCTAATTCAAGGCATAACATTTAAAGCATACATGAATGTGAGATTTTAACTGAATACAGAAGCTTACAAATAAAATTGTGTATCCCCTCTCTTATAGCCTTGTTAAGATGACTCTAATTATAATACAGTGAAAGAATCATGACATCAAACCCTTGCTGTAATGAACACAGTGAATGTTTTTCTCAGCAAAAGATGTTCACTATACTCAGGTTTTACTGTACATTGTTTATTTTCCAAATTCGCAGGCATTCCAGAAGACACCAAACTGAACTTGTCCAGGCTGAAATGTGAGGAATGGATGGCAGAGAAGTTGAAGAAATTGTCTGAGGCTAACAAATGGAAAGTCATTGTGAACCTTGTCCTTGGTGGAGGTAGGTCATTATGTGTGTTCATCTTAAAAGGGAACTTTGTGGTCAAATATCAAATTTTGGGGAACCTAATTTGCAGTAGGGGCAGTGGGGGAAAAGCTATGTTAATATCCTCACCAATATTTGTTATTAATTGTTCATTATTCTGTTCAACAAAGTTATATTAAACTCACCATCATGTGAATCAAGCTTATTAATGCAAATGCAACATTATATCATTTTAGGAAATGGTCACAAGAAGTCTGAAGGTGGACTGCTGACTGATAGTGATCTATCAACCGTCTCTCTTAGTGCCTTCATGGCAAGTGTGGACTACAAACAAATGCCATTTGATATGAGAAACAAGTTTATACAGATCCTGATAAAGGTAGAGAACCCTTTACATATTGATTTGAGTGATGGAATATTAGTTGTACATGAATGTCTTTGTTTTCTGTTTCAGTAATGTTGATTTCTTAATTTGAAGGAAATGATTTTTTACATTATTATGCAGGGTTTGAGCTAAGGTTCTGAGAGCAGCCAGTCAAAAGGACACTATGGATCAGTTGCTATGTTATTTATCTATACCTACTGAAAATACAACTGGACCGTATCAAAAGTGGCCTGGCAAATAATCAGTGGACCGGCCCTTACCTCAAGCCCTGCTTATGTATGTCTCACCTGGGAGAAGTGGTTGTTAAATGAACTGAGGTGTATTTTGCTAAGTTAATTGAAACTCTTGCATGATGTAGAATAGACGGCATTTTTTAATCCACAAAATGAGAAAATTATATTTATGCTAACACACAGAATGGCGCAAATCCTAATGGTACTGAGAAGTTCCGTCCAATCAGAAAAGCCCTCGAGAGTGAAGATTACAAGATGGCTGCCATGCTTCTTGATCTCGGTGCAGATCCCTCGTTCATCACTCTTCATGAAATGGATAGTCCACTACATTATGCCCTGAAAGTTGGTCTTAACAAAATGGAAGGTAAGTAACAAATGTTCTAAATTGATAAGTGAATTCTCATTCAATCTTTGCTACATGTATATTTGCAGATATGAGATGATTTCTATTCCTATAAGTAGAATGGTCCATATTCAACAAATGTAATGATTTTTATAGAGAGGAGTAAACAAATTGTTTCCCTTATTCTTGATCAATCAAGTATGAAAGATACTCATTTTTAGCTCACATGGTGAGCATTTGCAATGCAATCACTCACTTGTTCCAATCCTAGGAACATTACTTTTAATGTCACCACCAAAAAGTGGTAACATATTGTTATGGTCTCCGTTTTTTAGCTCACATGGTGAGCTTTTGCAATCACTCACTTGTCCGTCTGTCTGTCCATCCGTCCGTCCGTCCGTCCGTCTGTCCGTCAACAATTGTGGCACGTTTTAAAACCTCTGTCGATAGGATTCCTGTTTTAAGTTATTTCTGTTCAACATCAATACAGAAAACCCCCCTATGACTCCTGGTTCAAAAGCTCGCCTATTTTCAAAATGGCCGTCACTTTTGTCTCGCGAAATTCACTTTTAGCCCATTTCCTAGCTAACCTCTGTCGATAGGATTCCTGTTTTAAGTTATTTCTGTTCAACATCAATACAGAAAACCCCCCTATGACTCCTGGTTCAAAAGCTCGCCTATTTTCAAAATGGCGGTCACTTTTGTCTCGCGAAATTCACTTTTGGCCCATTTCCTAGCTTTACAAATAATTTCAGGTGTCCTACATTGTAAAAATCCATATCTATGTAAGGATTAGATATATGAAATAATTTTGTTACAAAAAATCAGCGAAAAATTGTATCCATTTTTTTATTTTCAGCCATTTTAGTTAACATTGATTTGTCTATCTGACTCGCGAAATCCACTTTCTGTGGCACGTTTTAAAACCTCTGTCAATAGGATTCCTGTTTTAAGTTGTTTCTGTTCAACATCAATTCAGAAAACTCCCCTATGACTCCTGGTTCAAAAGCTCGCCTATTTTCAAAATGGCCGCCATTTTTGTCTCGCGAAATTCACTTTTTACCCATTTCCTAGCTTTGCAAATAATTTCAAGTGTCCTACATTGTAAAAATCCATGTCAATGTAAAGAGTAGATGTATGAAATAATTTTGTTACGAAAAATCAGCGAAAAATTATATCCATTTATTTATTTTCAGCCATTTTAGTTAACATTGATTTGTCCATCTGTCTCGCAAAATCCACTTTTGGACCATTTACCTTAAACCCTCTGTCGATAGGATTCCCATTTTAAGTTAATTTTGTTCAACATCAATACAAAAAACTCTCCTATGACTCTTGGTTTAAAAGCTCACCTATTTTCAAAATGGTTGCCATTCTTGTTTCGCGAAATTCACTTTTTGCCAAGTTCCTAGCTTTACAAATAATTTCAGCTGTCCTGCATTGTAAAAAGCCATGTCACTGTAAAAGGTAGTTGTATGAAATAATTTTGTTACAAAAAATCGACAAAATATTATATCCGTTTTTTTTTATTTTCAGCCATTTTAGTTAACATTGATTTGTCCATCTGTCTCGCGAAATCCTCTTTTGGACCATTTGCTTAAAACCTCTGTCGATAGGATTCCAGTTTCAAGTTATTTTTGTTCAACATCAATACAAAAAACTCCCCTATGACTCCTGGTTCAAAAGCTTGCCTGATTTCAAAATGGTCGCCATTTTTGTCTCGCGAAATTCAATTTTGGCCCATTTTCTAGCTTTACATATAATTTCAGGTGTCTTGCATTGCAAAAAGCCATGTCACTGTAAAGAGTAGTTGTATGAAATAATTTTGTTACAAATTATTGGCAAAAAATTATATCCGTTTTTTTTTTCAGCCATTTTAATTGACTGAGAGACAGATGGCTTGAAATAATTTTGTAACAAAAAATCAGCAAAAAATTATATCCATTTTTTTCTGTTACCATGTGAGCCCAGTACCCATGGTACTAATTTTTTGTTGTGGTGGTTGGCATCTGAAACAAATTCTTAAAACTTCCAATAACTTAAAACTTCCAATAACTTAACAACTGTTTAGACTGACTTCAATGTTTTTCAAAATTATCTACAAGTTTTCAGAAATTCAAATCTGACTTTATATTTAAGATTTGGCCTTCAATGACCTTTTCAAGGTCAAAAAAGGTTAAAAGGTCAAAAAGATTTCTTTTCAACTTGCTTCAATTTTTTTCCAAAATCATCTACAAGTTTTCAAAAGTTCAAATCTGACTTTAGATTTTGAGATTTGACCTTCAATGACCTCCTCAAGGTCTAAAAAGGTCAAAAAGGTTTTTTTCAACTTGCTTCAAATTGACCAATTTTTTCTTTCATAATTGTCTACAAGTTTTCAAAACTTCAATTCTGACTATAGATTTGACCTTCAATGACATTCTCAAGGTCAAAAAAGATTTTACCTTCAATGACCTTCTTAAGGTCAAAAAGGTCTTTTTTCAACTTGCTTCAAATTGACCAATTTTTTTTCAAAATCATCTACAAGTTCTCAGAAATTCAAATCTGACTTAAGATTGAACTAATAATATTATGAGCAACTAGGTGGTGACATTTTGTCACGTTAATGCCTTATCTATAAATAGAATAATCCATATCCAATCCTTAATCAAGTACCATTGACACTCCTCTATCCTAGCTTCATAACATCCATTTTCTAACAATGCAATGATGCATGTTGTTAAAAAGGGGAGTTAACATGTCTTCTGCCTTATTTCAGGCAACTTTGATCTCCTGAAACTGCTGCTCAAACTGCATAGCCACGATTCTGAGAAGTACAAGTTCTTACATCGCAATACTCAAGACAATCATGGAAATACTCTCTTCCATATGGTAGTGAAACCTACAAAGTGTACCCATGAACTTGTAGAAGCTGTCAAACTGCTTGTTCAATATAAGGTAATGAAAACTGGATCAAGCATATGTACTATATCTAGTACATGTATGATTTCAGTCCTGAAATGTATTAATTGTTTATGTGTGAAACCATGATAAAAGATTTCCCACACAAGTTATGAATGTCCAATATACATTTTGAGGTAACTGAAAAACAGCCACGGAGTGTGATTTAATGTATAGAGTGGTCAAACAATGAAATCATAGGGATGTCCTATTGGCACTTAGATGTTTTTCTCTTGTACACAATTAACCTGTAGATTCTAGAGTGAAATTATGATATTAAACATATTAATATTACACAAAACAATGACTTGACCTTACATTTACTTTTCACAACAGGTGAACCCAAAGATATTGAATAGTGAGGGCAAAGATGCGATATCCTACTTGAAGAAAAATGATCGAAGAATGCCATACACTTTAAATGCAGCCACTCACTACTCCAAATATGTGCCAGTCAAGTTCAAAAAGAAGAAGAAAACGAAACTTGATCCCAAAACTGCTGTCTCAGAATCTGAGGTGGATGACAATCATTCCAAGATGGCCACATCAGAATCCAATATGGCCGAATCCAATATGGCTGGAGGTGACAACCATCTTAGCCAACAATCTACATTTTCCAAAGAGAAACACAACCAAAACTCAGGACTGTATATAAAAAGCAGTAAAGAGGAGTGTAAGAGAAACATCCAAGATTTAATCGAGTCTCTTCCTGCTATCATCCTCACTCAACAACCATCTCCGTCCAAAAAATTTGAAAATCGTCCGCATCTGGACTCTGAATCAGATTCAAGGTCAACTACACCTGATATTGAGGTTGTAGGACAATTTGATGAAGTTGATGATGATGGCGATGATGATGAAGACGAGGAAGATGTTGAAGCCAATGAGAAGATAGATGATGCAAATGAAGTGGATCTCAATATGCTCAAGGTTTGAATCATTTTAATACATGAGAAGCATAAAGTTTGAGTGCCAAAATCAAGACATATAGTATGTGGCAATTAACATCAATGGAATGCATTAAAAATGTGTAATTTCTCATGTTTATTGACTTTGATTTAAATGTTTGTTGACTGAAATTTAAATGTTTGTTGACTGAAATTCAAATGTTTGTTGATTATGATTTAAATGTTTGTTGACTGTGATTTAAATGTTTGTTGACTGCAATTTAAATGTTTGTTGACTGTGATTTAAATGTTTGTCGACTGAAATTGAAATGTTTTTTGACTGTGATTTAGATGTTGGATGACTTTGTCTGGGAGGTGGAGTGTACTGCCAATGTTTGGAAAACATTAAGAGACAAGAGGGTGAATCGTAAGCTCAAACTACGAATCATCAACAAAATCAAGCAGCTTGCCAAAGGAAACTGGCGTCCAAGCCTAGCTAAAAAATTGGATGGTCAGCCTAGGTAGGCCTTATCTCGTGTAGGATTTTACCAGAAAATTTTATTTTACATTTTAAATCTAGCAGTATTGCTTTCCCTTTTAACACTTCCTCATGAATCTTTTTCAGAAATGAGCATGTCCAGCTGTATGAAGCAAAACTATCCAAGGGCTCGAGGATTATCTGGGAGTTAGCGATAGCATTTTCCCCACGGTGCAGCGAGAACCCTGAAAAGCTGTTAGGGGTGGGGGAGGGTAATGACCCAGCCAGCTCCACTGGGGGTAGGATCTATTCTGAGGTGATTAGAGTTTGGGATATTGTGTTTGATCACAATAAGATCTACCACAGTGTGGAGAATATCTGCAGGAGCCACAACAGGGGAGAAGACTGTATCATCAGGAAAAACTTGCAGGTATTTTCACCCTTATCTCCCTTTGTTTTGTAATGGAATTGTCCATGTTTGAAAAATGGACTAGTTCATGTTGAAATATAGGGGTGTTTATTTAGTGTCATTTTTGGATTTGGGCATTGAAAGGGTATGATAATCAATGCGGGGAACCCCAACTAACAGATTTTGAACCTCTACTAAACATACTGACCAAAAGCCAGTGAACCGTGGAGCACAAGAATGCATTAAAGGTTCAAAGTGAATTATCTCTAACCTTCAACATGATAATTATATATTCCTAGGGAATGAAGCGTAAGAAGTTCAAACATGGAAACACCTCAGACCAACGTGTACCAATGTACTACAGAGAAGTCACTCCAGACAAGTCCTCAACTGTATCTAAAATGCAGCAGTTCTGTCCCCCTGCGTCTTCCAATGAGACGGAGTATCATATCCTCAAGTTCTATGCATTTAATAGTCCAATGGTGAACAGTGTGCTACAGAACCCAGATATAAAAGTAAGTCATAAAATGCCTGGGTCACATTTGCTCCGATCCATTGGCTGGTGCCTGGCCGATTGAGTGTTTTGCTCAATATTGTATTCAATTTTGAATAAAATACTCAATTGGCCGGGTGCAGTAGTGAAAATCGGAGCAAATGTGACCAAGGCATTAGATACACCATCTTGCTTCCACTTCATTTCTACACATAATTTAGATTCACCATCCTCCTAAGTAGGTATCCAGAATCTGTACCTCCTTCTTCCCCCTGCTATAACCAATTTGGAAGTACCCGATTAAACTGAATCACGTGATCTAATTATGCACAATGACTTATGCATGATTTCTGTCGCAGTGTTGCGACAGCCAATCAGATTGAGAGTTCTAAATCGGGGAAATGCTAACTGCTTATCGCAGGGGGTAAAAAGAAAGTTTATATTCTGAATTTTGAAGCCCTGTGAATGGAGGATGAGATTCACTTGCATACAATTTCAAGAGGGCCTAATAGGCCGAAGGCCTTTTGGATTTGCTGGATAAATTAAGACAACTGGGACATGAACTAACATCTTTTTCTTTATAATACTTAATTCTACCAATAATTGTTATCTGCAAAGGTTCTGGGCCGATATAAAGATGACAGCACCAACAGAATCCAGTATTATCTTTTTCTCAAAGAGAAACATAGATAAACACGAACTCCTATGCAGTGTCTCGGTATAGACACTGCGGCGGGCAGATTATGGAATCCCCAAAATTTGGGGAAGATAGTCCCCCTTTTACTCACAGATGTACTTGTTTTTCACACAACTTATAAAATATATGTTCTTTTATGTTCACCAATAATTATTTTGTCGAAATATTCCAAAATCAATGAAATATAAGAGGAAATCCCCGCGGAAGGAATTCTGAGTAAAAGTTGTGTTGATAAAAGTTTACCGCACGTGTTGTTTATTAGTTAATACGCGCAATTCAACCAACGAAATTGTCTAAATTTTACAATCACGCGACCTGAGCATGGGACTAGAACCAATCACGTCAGTTGTTTATTACGATGTTACCATGCTTACGGTGAGATGCCTGCCCGCCGCAGTGATATATCACTGCACAGGAGTTCAAGATAAACACAGATCGATTACCATGCCATCTTTATTTAAAAATGATTTCTATCACCCTAAGCCTATGGTTATCCAATTGCTGTATCATAAAAAGAAGGTTATAATCTGTATTTTGACTATTTTTCTTCATTCTTAAATTACAATTATTTTCCAACATTGCAGGTTGATTTTCCATTCAGAGTTACTGAACTTGAACATGCCATCATCAACCTTGACCCCACACCACCACAAGCCTTGCTCTTGCTTGGGCGAAGTGGCACTGGTAAGAAGATTAAAAAGTGTTAATATAAGGCCATGTGAAAAATGTATAGATATGTGTTTGTAATCACTGCTGCAAATTGATGTCATCCCTTTTATGCCCATAAAATGAAGAGATTTCTCAGCAAATGAGTTTGTGTTTTTTCTTGAGTTTGTGCTTGCATGATTTGGATTTTGCCAGGACGCAAAACAAAAAATCAACTTTTTATGGCCTAACAAGCTCATTATAAGCTACATGTACATGATTTTGTCTCTAAATTCAAAATCTGTCTTTTGATCAAGATTCCCTTGTAAGCTGTTAGAAGATTGTGCATTATTAAAAAATATATTTGGGTTTTGCAGTATATTTATATTTATATTTAAAATCTATTTTCCCATCATACCGGAATGAAATGATTCAAGTATAAATTGTTTGACTAATTGCAAAAGTAAAACTCATTACCATAGACTAGAGGTGTGAATTTTTAATCGATCATCGATTAATTGATCGACACGCATTTAATCGAATAAGATTCTTATTACTCAATTAACTGATTCTCAAAAAGTTAATCTTCAATATCCCGCTGCGAGTAAGCTTACATGACGTCACTGACTGATTGAGCTAGCAGTGAATGTCAGGTTGCCACGCCAAGCTCAAACTACCAAACAAACTAATTACCCTAAGACTGACGCTTTCCTGTGACCTTTGTTGTTTTTGAGTTTAATACTAATCCAATACATCCCATTTGTTTATTCAGTAGAAGTATGCGATCAAATTCAAGGTGAATAGTGGTGTAGCCTATAATTTGAATGCAACCGTCCCAATTTTATTCAGTTCAGAAGCGGTCGAAAAATGGCGACAACACCAGGAAAAAGAAGTTATGTATGGAAATATTTCAACAAAGAAGACGACGATCGCGTCAAATGTGTGCTCTGCAATACTAAATACAAATATTCAAACAATACATTCACTCTAAGCTAACTTCATTTCTAGTCAGAAAGTCGGGACCCGTTTCTAAACTTGCCGCTGAAGATATCACTAATAAAATTATCAATATGATTGTGGTTTATAATATTTTCACCACTGTTGTTTTAAGTATCTTGTAACGGACCCCTGGTTCCATTTAAGTTTCACCCACAATGCAATGCGTGATAACGAAAAAAGTAAATATTGAAATAAAATCTTTTATTGTAAAAATCGTCTGAAATACAGAAATATATACCTTGATACTACCAATACACTACCAATACACCTGAATGGGAATTTACTAGGAAAACTTGAGAAAAGGTGTGTGAAAATAACTCTCGAATTATCGATTTATCGCCCACAAGAAAGTTGCCGAAAAATCAAGTTTGTGTCAGATATCCATGCATACTTTATCAGTTTATGTTGGGGTCGATTAACCGATGATTAATCGATTAATATGTTTCGTTGATCGATTAAGTAATGTGCCATCGGTGCACACCTCTACCATAGACAGATAAATATTGTTATAAAAATGCCTTAACTCTTGTAACATAAGTTCATTTTTGAGTGACTGTTGTCTAAAGTATAATATATCCTTCCAGGGAAGACAACAGTATGTCTGTACAGACTGTGGACATTCTTTGTACGCTATTGGGAGCAAGCAGCCATGAATGGGTATGATCCATTGATTCATAGACACATTGTGTTCATACACCAAGATTCTGCAGAGGATGTTGAACTGGAAGGTAATTATATAAGTATGTCCTATACTGTAATTTACTGCTTCATAGATTGACATACACTGTTGCTCATAAATATGGAATATTAGATTTGGCAGCTCAGAATTCAAAGTTTGGAGTAAGAGAACATTTATTATCCCATCAAACGAAGTTCGGAGGGATATAGGGAACGCCTCCGTACGTACGTCCGTCCGTCCGTCTGTCCGTCCGTCTGTCCGTCCGTCTGTCCGTCCGTCCGGGCAATAACTCAAATACCGTTGGCCCGATTTTGTTCATATTTTGTACACATATACCCTATGGGGGTAGAAGTTCTGCTTAAAAGCCGATTTTCAAAATGGCCGCTCATTTAAAAATGGCGGCCATTTTAGTGCCGATTTTACAGTAATTTAGGTGCAATATGTAAAACTGTGATAGCATTATGTTTGAAATGTAAAAAAATTATATAGGACATTGATAAAGCTAGAAATGTAGAAATTTAAATAGCACATGGCAGCCATCTTGAAAAATGGCGGCCTTTACTCGTTATTTTACGATTTTTGCTGTAACTCAAGAAGTATTGGAGCGATTTTGTTCATATTTGGTATGTGAATACTATAAGCATGGCTCACTGTCTAATGACACTTTTGGTAGGAGGAGGCCATTTTGAAAATTTGCCGCCATTTTGAAAAATGGTCGCCATTTTAACATATTTTACTTTAACTCAAAATGTAGTGGAGCGATTTTGTTCATATTTGGTTTGTGAATACTATAAGCATGGCACACTGTCTAATGACTTTTCTGGTAGAAGGCGGCCATTTTGAAAAATGGCCGCCATTCTAACGTATTTTACTATAACTCGAAAAGTAGTGGAGCGATTTTGTTCATATTTGGTATGTGAATAATATAAGCATGGCACACTGTCTAATGACACTTTTGGTAGAAGGCGGCCATTTTGAAAAATGGCCACCATTTTAAAGTATTTTACTGTAACTCGAAAAGTAGTGGAGCGATTTTGTTCATATTTGCCATGTGAATACTATAAAAAAAGCATATTACTTCTTCTGATGACAAAAAATGGAATTTGAAAAATGGTCGCCATTTAAACGTATTTTACTCGGCCTTTACTCGTTATTTTACGATTTTTGCTGTAACTTGAAAAGTAGTGGAGCGATTTTGTTCATATTTGGTATTCGAATACTATCAGCATGGCACACTGTCTTATGACACTTTTGGTAGAAGGCGGCCATTTTGAAAAATGGCCTCCATTTTAAAGTATTTTACTATAACTCGAAAAGTAGTGGAGCGATTTTGTTCATATTTGGCATGTGAATACTATAAAAGAGCATATTACTTCTTCTGATGACAACTTTCTTATGTATGTTATTTTATGATATTTGCTATATATTTCGTTTTAAAAAATGCCAGCTATTTCTGTTCGATGGGATTCGCTACGCTTTGGCGTTGCCGTTGTTCTGGTTTGGAGTTGGCTCAGACATTTATTTTCTAGGCAAATCATAACCACATATTTCACCTACAATTCAACATTTTTTAGGGAAAAAACATTAACATTTAAGTTTAGAAAATTACTGTTACTTAAACAGGGGTGCACTAAGAATTTTTGCATTTTCAAAACACCCCGATCCAAATCGTCATGTAAAACAGATCAAACAAAATAAACATCTGGTCATGAAGATTGAAGTATCCTCTATCCAATGATAGCACTAATATGTGTTATGTCCTCTTTGTGCTGCAATCAGAGCATCAACCCTACAGGACCAGCATTGAATGAAACATCTGACCTTGAAAGTGAAATAAGGCCCCATTCCTCAATATGGGCAGTGCGTAATGTGTCTAAATTTTGAGAAGGGGGTCAAAGTTACGAATCTCATTACCAAGGTCGTCCTACATTTGCTCTGCATTAGCCTGATTAGCTTACTTTTGTGCCCATGGTAGCTGGTCCACATTGCCTGCCCTGGTGTAATCCATCACGATGCCACTAGCATATGTAACAGCATGATCATTCTGCAGTTGAATGTTGCCCCAAAACACTCTGTTTACATGTGGTACTTGATGGAGGTCCAAAAGGTCAATTTACTCTGAAATTTTGTTTGGGAATCACCAAGGGGGTGCAATTTCTGTAGTACTGCTCCGAACAACCTCTGTAATACTGCTCCAAACATAAATAGGGTCGCCTTCATGGACTGCCACATCAGTAAGTGTCTTTATTGTCTCTTCCCCCTGGTCTACGACAGAAGCGAACACAATTATCAACTTTGTGGAGGACACATCTTATTTCTTCAAATGCTGTCATATGACACCAACGATTATAGGTCCAACGTTTTGGTGCTTTCCTGCCCATTGAGGGCACCTTTCTTTCTTATGATCAGTCAGTTGTGGTCTCTTTAAAGATCTCATGGCCTTGCATCCGTTATAAAGAAATCACTGGTTGTCTATAGCTCTGGAACACGGGTTTTGGGGTGAGACAGCCATTCATCTCGTAGACTACTAGTTGACTTAAAGCGATTTTGATGACATAAATGCAGCAGGTGGTGGTCGTTTCTTACATTTTTCCCTCTAGGGCTACTATTGCCGTGACCTGGAGTTCTATTCCAGTGCCTTTGGTACCACTGCAAAATTTTAGAGACTGTTCCTGACACAGCCCTAGGGTCCTGGCAATAGCAGTGTGTTTCATGCCAGAGAGCGCCATCCCTATGACCTGTCATGCTCTTTTTCGCTTATTCTATGGGGCATGCCTTCTAAAAACTCTTCCAACTCTAAATTAAATTGTTATAAAATGTGTACAATGATTACAACTAAGATTTGGACACCTCTTTCAAGTTACCAATATCATGAGGTCATGGGGTCACCTGAGTGAATACAAGTTTAATCAACCATAAATGTTTTAACTTTTCATACCAATCAGTTTTATATGCAAAACTGATGAGGGAATGAGAACACATTACAAATTTTCATCAAAATGTTATCATTTTGTTGAAATTCCATCAAACAGTTCGTATCTATAAAATATTCCATATTTATGAGCAACAGTGTATGATTGACAGTAATATATGGTCGTATCTCATACTTGAGTGGGTTTGGGGTAGATATCACCCGGGAATATATATCGTATCTGAGGAGCGGGCAGGATATATTGTATATGTCCCGCTCCAGGCCAAATGCGGGCAGATATAATATATCCATCCCGCTCCCGGGAATTTTTCAAAAGTTTAAAAAAGTTTAAATATCAAAAGTTTTAATTTTTTAATTTTAAAATTTAATTTTGTTTTAGTTTAAATGTTACAATTTCATTGTATTGAACAAAAAGAATATTACGAAAATGTTAAATATAAATATCTTATCATTTGAAAAAGGTGGAAAAGGTTATATCTACCCTAAACCCACTCAAGTATGAGATACACCAGTTATGCACGATCGGTTTGGATACATGGAATATCCCTTGAGATATACAATACATCTTCCCTCGGTCCCTTCGGTCCCTCGGGAAGATATATTGTATATCCCTCGGGATATTCCCTGTATCCAAAACCTCCCAGTGCATAACCCCTATATATGCAATCATCTTATATATCTTTTCGCATGAAATATCCAATGAATCTAATTAGCCCAAAATGCTGTTGGTTGCCTCAAATATATTTCGATTATTACATTGATGTTTTATCTTAGTTCTAATCATCATTACAATAAAAATTCATAATAGAGAAATGATATTGCAAGAATATAATAACATAGTTCAAAACTCCGAACTGCCTGTCTGCCATTATGGCAATTACTTTTCTCTCTTGGCAATGAACTTTTTGCCTATTGGACAGTGGACTCAATGCCAACATGTTAAAATGGCCAATCCTATTCTCAACCCTTGTCATGAACACTGTATCATAATAGTGAGAATATTGCAATATTTGAATATTCCAGAATTAGAGGAAGACGCCGTAGAGAATAAGCCAGCAGGTGCAACTGGGACCCTTGCCAAGGTTTGTCATGACAATCATGTTGATGAAGCTGATGAGTTTACTGCTGAACATTGTCTCAAAGCTGCTGCTGCTGCTGCTGCTGCTGGGGAGGAGGGAGATGATTATGAGGAAGACAATGAAGAAGATCAGCCACTTTATGAACATTTACATCAAGTAAGTAACCTGGTGAAAATTGCAATGGTGTTACCTCAAAGATAGTTTACATGGGTACTATTAAGCCAGGCCTGTAGCCTGAGATTGCCAACATTGTTCACTTTTCAAAACAATACTGGTTGGTTCATATTTGACAACTTTGGACCAAAATCACTTGAAAGTGCTTAGAATGGTGAAAACTGCATGATTTTGAAACAATTTTGGGCCTGGCTACGAGTTTGTATTTGACAACTTTGGACCAAAATCACTTGAAAGTGCTTAGAATGGTGAAAACTGCATGATTTTGAAAGAATTATGGGCCTGGCTACGAGTTTGTATTTGACAATTTTGGACCAAAATCACTTGAAAGTGCTTAGAATGGTGAAAACTGCATGATTTTGAAAGAATTTTGGGCCTGGCTACGAGTTTGTGTTTGACAACTTTGGACCAAAATCACTTGAAAAGTGCTTAGAATGGTGAAAACTGCATGATTTTGAAAGAATTTTGGGCCTGGCTACGAGTTTGTATACTCATGCTGTGTTTGGTTTGCTCAGTAGCTAGTTAGGCATGGGTATAGTGATGAGTCTATGTGTTTCAGCACATATGATGGTATCAGTCCAACATGGTTCCTAAAAATGCTCATGGTTATTACTCATGGTTGAACAAGTTTGACTCATTCCTAAATATTCATATTTGAGTCGATTAAACTTCAAGAGATTTACAAGTACATATTGTCTTGAGCCACTGATATAAATTCATCAATATTTGAGGAAAGAGTGATTTACTATTAAATGCAGTTAGTTTTGTTTTCGTTTTTATGCATAAGTTCATTTTTTTTATGTCATTTCAAGGTGTTTATTACTAAGAATGGCGTATTGTGCAATGAAGTGCAGAAGAATTTTAAGGAACTCAGCCATGCCTTAGAAGTTGCCAAGCTCCATGTAGAGACAGAAGATCTTCCTATACCTAACAGGCAAGTTCAGAACTTTTGAATAGTTTTCGACTCAGACATCTGTATTTTTAAAGATACACATTTTGATTAAACTACGATTGATATTCTGTTAATGTATTTGTGCAAATATAAAATGGAATGAAACTACATGTTATAGCGCTATAAAGTTTAATGAAATACACATGAAAAAACATAATATTTAAGAATATACTATTTGTATTTTTTTTAGACTTCAAGATGCCCACCCAGCCCAATTCCCACTTTTCCTAACCTCAAAACAATGGCTGTTACTTCTTGATGCATCCCTCCCTAATCCATATTTCCCACGCAATGCGGATGGAAGCCTGAGACGTGCAATACAAGGATGGGGTACTAACGATGGTCCACTTGCATTTGTGTCAATCATTGATGATAGTGATGATGAGCTTGATGATGTCACAAAGGATGATGCGGAAGATGAACACCTTGATGCTCCTGTGAGGGAGTTTGACCCCAGACGAGAAGTCACGTAAGTAGTCTGTATTGCACAAATGAAACACCAGAATGATCAAAACAATTTTGTGGTTTGTGTTATCATTCAGTGCAAACTTGGACTGAATTTCACCACTTATGAACGGCTTTTCACACTTATTTACAGGTATGACGTTTTTGTCAATGAACTATGGACCAAGGTGAACAAGACCAAAGAGAGCTACCACCCAACATTAGTGTGGACAGAGATCAAGTCATTCATTAAGGGGTCCATTGAGGCCTTACACAGTCACTCAGGAGTCCTCTCCCAGGGGGATTACCTTGACCTTGGGAAGAAACGAGCTCCAAATTTCACGGCTGATCGCAGAGTTGTTTATCAGATGTTTGAGCGCTACCAACATTTGAAGCATCAACGAGGATTGTTTGACGAATCAGATCTTGTGTTTAACATCTACACGCGTCTCAAAGACATGCTGGAGCTTGATTGGTCGCTTCATCAGATATATGTGGATGAGACCCAGGATTTCACGCAGGCTGAGTTATCGTTGTTCATACGTTGCTCTCAAGATCCAAATGCACTCTTCTTAACTGGTAAAGACTCTATCAATTTTCATTAAGTTCTTTTATACATCTGGTCTTCAATTCTGTTCTTTGCATGTTACTGGACATTTACTGCTTACATTTTTTTCGTTTATAAACCTAATATCATAAACAGCTTAGACTTTTTAACTCTCTAAGTCTGACTAGTTTAATCATTGTAAAGTAGTAATATTTTCTCAGATTAATTACTGATGTGCGATAAATAAATAAATAAATAAATAAAAGAAAAAAATGTACGATCATATTAAATATAAATTGTTTAAGAGTTGATTGTCGCAAGATGAATGTTTATGGCAGACACAAGCGATCGTGAGTGGTTTAACCCCACATAGTACAATATAACGATTATAAGTACCATACAGTACAGCTTTTAAGTACCATGTGTTATAGGAGACACTGCGCAGAGTATAATGAGAGGGGTAGCATTCAGGTTTGGAGACCTCAAGTCACTGTTCCACTATGCACACAAGACGTTCAAAGCAGTAGGCAAGCAATCTGCAATTACTGTCCCTAAGAAGGTAACGCACATACAATTATTATTACTCAGTGAAGATAAATGTGTATTTTCTTTTAATCTTCACTAGATATATAAATATATTTGTTTATATATTTTTTAATCATCAATCATTAGAGGGGGAACACACCAGAGTTTAATGATGACATACGCTTATAATGTTATACTGTATTTGGAAGACATGCATATGTGATTGGTCAAATTTTTACAAACAAATGACATCATCAATGGTGGCATCAACATTTTAAAATATGCTTTGAATAATATTATATGTTAATTTCAAGGAGGTTTACCTAATATCATAGCTTTATTTCATATCAAGATTAAGAAATGTGTACAGAATATTCCTACATCGATTAAAACCTCAGATCGAAGTGTAGTATTTGGAAACTAGACGTTGAAAATTTTTACAAACCAAGGTTGTAAGCAAGAGACGTAATTATGTCTGTCATCACTTAAGCTCTGGGTTTTCCCTCCTCTTATCAACCATCATATACTCTTGGAGAATTCTCTAAAATTCACTTCATCTTCAGCGATAATATTGTGCTATATTTCCTTGTTAATTGTCATTTAGGTGCACCAGTTAGTCCACAACTACCGCTCACATGCTGGTATACTGAATCTTGCCTCTAGTGTAGTAGACATCATGGTCAAGTTCTTCCCAGAGTCATTTGATAGGTAGGTAAATACATAGTATAGTGTTACCTAGAAATTGCCTTCAGTAAATGATGCTTCAATTGAGTCAAATACAAGTGAAAATCTGATATACCTATCTGCTTGGACTGCAATGAAATTCATTTAATGGTATTTGTTGATTAAATTGTAAAAAGCAATAGAAATATGATGTGAATTTTTACAACAATGAATGAAATTCATCTAAAAGGATGAGTTTATACATGCTATATTAGAGGAATTGGTAACCTGTTTAGTTTGGATGTAGACAAAAACTGGCAAAACGTACTGCACTTGTTATTCAAAATGTAAAATTTATTGTGATTGCATGCACTGAAACTAATTAAAATGATTTGTTTTAGGCTAGAGAGAGACCAGGGTTTATTCCAAGGACCAAAGCCAGTCCTCTTAGACTCCTGTAGTTTCAGTGACTTGGCCTTGATACTCCGAGGCAACAGGCGCAAAACATCAGAAATAGAGTTTGGGGCACATCAGGTAGAGTTATTTCATAGCTTGTGGAATACTGCACCAGGGTTATCTTGGCTCTATTATGTCACCACCAGAAGTGTTGAAGTGGTGAAATGTTATTATAGTCTCCAACTTTTTTTTTGGATAGTGTTCGGCTTTCAGTGTTTGGTGTCTGTTACAAATTCTTACAACTTCCAATAACTGGTGGTAATGCTAATTCTTCGTTTTTTGCAATTTAAAACTTGAGCAGTGTAATTAAATAATGCATTGTTATTATTGTCTTGTGGTGATAGTTGTTCATGTGTTTTGTCGAGCACCACATGGATCTTATTTTACTTCAGTTCAAATAAAAAGGTCTTTCTTTATTTGAACTAACTATAATTTGCTACAACTTGTAACCTAAACAAGTGTTACTCATTTAATCATAGATTTACACAATCTAATACAGTTAAACCTAAAAAGTGGAACACCTCTGAGTGTGGAACACCTCCCAAGTGGAACGTTAATGGACTAGATGCACATAGAAATTGTTTTTATTTCCATCATTATATATTCAAAATTCAGTCATCATGATATCATACACTGTATTTGAAATCTACATTTATCATTCTAACTAGAAACTGTTAACTACCTATTGGCATCTGGGTTATTTGAGGTATCTAAGATTTCCACTTCCACAGGATTTTCCTGTCTTTAATTTCCTGCGTAATTTATAAGTAATTCTATTTAAAGGTAATTCTCGTGGCCAATGAGGCAGCTAAAGCAGAGATCCCTGATGAGTTGAGTGTTGGACTGGTGCTTACTATATTTGAGTCCAAAGGGTTGGAGTTTGATGATGTGCTGCTGTACAACTTCTTCAAAGATTCACCAGTAAGTGTCATGTTAACATTATGTATTGAAGCAAGGGCTATAACTCAACCTTAATCAAATAATGTTGCATATGGAAATAATTCAAGTTATCTTGGGTATCCCCATTATTACAATGATGATGTTGAAGCAGTGAAGGTTTTGCAGACACAATAATGAAAGACAACACTTATATATATGTAATTCTGTGATATTTTACTTTGAGTGATTCATGACAATCATCATTCCTTGTTGGAGTGATACATTTATAAACAAAGTTATTTTCAGTTTCACCATCCAATGCATCAAGAGATGTGGAGCATCCATGAAATTATAAAAGTGCTTAGTATAGACTATTTATCATATCATATGCACTCAGTGAACCCTTTGTACAAAATCCTATATAATTTAGGCCTGCAAAGAGTGGAGAGTCATATGCACTCAGTGTACCCTGTTTACAAAATCCTATTTTATTTAGGCCTGCAAAGAGTGGAGAGTCGTGACAAGTTATCTGGAGGAGCTGATTGAAGAACACAGGAATTCCAGAGCTCTAGACAAAGAAACACTCATAGAACTAGATATAGGTAAATATTTTAACAACATGACAGAGAGTAGACATTTTAAATTTTCAAGTCAACCATGAAAACAATTTTCAAATTTTGATATTTTGGTCAATTTACACCAACATTACATTATAATATTCATTCATTTTTCATTTTGACCTGCTTGTTTGTTATTAAGACCACTTACATTTGTTTCTAGATGATGTCAAAGGGAACTCCAATAGACCACGTCCACTTCAGTTCGACCCTGATAAGCACAAAGTGCTGAATTCTGAGCTTAAATTCCTCTATACGGCTCTTACAAGGGCTAGGGTGAATATATGGATCTTTGATGAAGATCTGGATACAAGAGCTCCCATGTTTGAATATTTCACACGAAGGAAGCTAGTTGAGAAAGTCACCGTGAAAGATGATGAGAGTGAAGAAGGTGAAATGTGTGCGATATTATGTATTTGCTATTACATGAACCATTAGAAACTTAAGAGAGGTCAGATTTATAATCTAAGTATATCATGCTTTCCAATGGTATAAAATGAATTTCATATCATTCAATTTATAGGAAATATGTTTTTACCGACATGCTAATTTGTTACGAAAACAAATTTTAAGTTTTAATAAATGAGTGGAATCTAAGGCCACGAAAATTAATTGTTTGCATGCATTTTTTGTCGCCATTTCAGAGCATAAATGAATTTTTTTTTTTCAAGGACTGAATGAGGCAATATTTGCTCATACATCTACTCAGGAAGAATGGTTGAAGAGAGGGGACTACTACATGTCACACAAACTTTATGAAGTTGCAGCCAAATGCTACAGAAAAGGTACATAAAGCTATTATATGTTTCATATTCTGAGAAAATATGGAGGTCAACATTGGCAGTTATTAACATTTAAAACTTTGAATTATATCAGCTGATTCTATTTTGTTATATGCATGTAGTCATTAAAATCATATCAAGACTCATTTCATAGTTGAGGTTAGAAATACAGATATAGAAGTATGCAAAACTCAAAAAATCAAAAAGTGTCATTTAAGGACATGAAATAAACTATTGATGAATTGCATTATTCTAAGCTGATTGATTGTATTTAAAATACCTGGCACTGTTAAATTATAGGAAATAGTTCAGAAAAAGAAATGCTTGCAATGGCCCACCACAAGGCAATACAAGCAGAGCAATTACGTAACAACCCTAAGAAGATGAGAGAAGAGTTTCTGTTGGCTGCTGAAAGTTTCTTGAAGTGTGAGCTGGCGCTAGAAGCTGCCAAATGTCTGTACAATGCCAAGGAATTTCTTATGGGAGCCCGTCTGTTTGAGAAGCTTCAGAAGGTACATGGAATGTGCAATTTCTTTAAAGGGTGACTCATATCGTTTAGCAAATCGAACGCTTGTTTCTGGTGTTGCTCACCGTTTAGTACAAAAGGCCCGATCCCGGAATAATACTCAAGGGTTCACAGGTTCGAGGTCGTTGTGTCAACACCTCTAACTGTTATATAGCATAAGTATATTATAGATCGTCACACATTTATAAAAGGGTGATTTTTATTTTGACAAATCAATTCCACATTTATGGGTGAAGTTTCAGGATCTTCTATTTGTGTATAATAAGAAAAAATTGGCATCTAAATTTCCCCATAACGTAATAGCACACAGCTTGGCACATGAAATATCCTACAAATGAAACAAAGCAAGACAAACCGGTTTCTAATACAAGGATTTATATTTGCTGTTGTACATGTATTCTTTGAACGCAATCACTCTTTGGATAACGTTTTCAAAATCATTATAAACGGATAACTTTATCTCAAAGACAATTTCAATAAACTGGATTTTACAGAACTCCCCTTATTTCTTAAAAATGGACTGATCCAGTTGATTCGCCTGGAGCCGCCATATTGTTTTTATACGGGATGCTAATCGGAACCCTTTAAATGCTAGTAAATAGTAGAAAGTTATGAACTGGACGTGATAATGATAAACCAGATAATGCTTTGATTTGGTTAAATGTTTATGATCTTAACTAGATGTAATCAATGCCACTTACATCAATTTTTTGCTTGTTATTGAAAAACTGCATTAGGTCAGAAAATTATTCACTTGAATAATAGAAAATAATGGAATTTTAATTTTGAAAATTACTGGTAGCTCAGTCCCGGAAAATATTAAAGTGTCACAAATTATTATGAGAAAAAAGTGTAATATGAATGTAAAATGTTTCAGTACAACAACGCTGCAGTCTTGTACCAGAAGGCAAAGTGTCCAGGAGAGGCGAGCATGTGCTATGAAATGTGCTAAATGAATTAATGTAAATGTTTCAGTACAACAACGCTGCAGTCTTGTACCAGAAGGCAAAGTGTCCAGGAGAGGCGAGCATGGGCTATGAAATGTGCTTAATGAATTAATGTAAATGTTTCAGTACAACAACGCTGCAGTCTTGTATCAGAAGGCGAAGTGTCCAGGAGAGGCGAGCATGTGCTAAATGAATTAATGTAAATGTTTCAGTACAACAACGCTGCAGTCTTGTACCAAAAGGCGAAGTGTCCAGGAGAGGCGAGCATGTGCTATGAAATGATGCATGACTACAAAAGGGCAATTGAATCATTCGTCAGCCAGGAGCTCTATGATAAGGCAGCTGATGTGGTGGAAAGATACCATATGAAAAAACAAGTAGGTTACATCAAAATATGCCAGACTATTATTCACTTGTATATAATCAATGTATTTGGTCACCTGTCAGCTTTTTCCTTCTACATCTTTTTCTTTCTACGAGGGTTGTCCCAGAAGTAATGCACTATATGCTCTAACTTTATCAATAATTGATATTTTTCGATGAAATTTTCAGTAAATGTTCCTTAGAGACATTTTGATGATTCTACAAATTTTCATGTTAATTACTAAAACAATATCGATGTTATAATAAAATCAAGTTGGTGAGTTTGGGTAGGGCGGGGCAGGTTATACAGTCACGTCAAAAGGAATAAAAAAATTGAAAATATGAAATAATTAATCAACAAATACCATTTTGTGTAGCTATAAGAAGTATGCTCAAAAATACATATGAAGATGTTTAATTACCATGAGCACATCCTAGATTTAATGGATGTATACTGCACAGTGTCCCATTTCACATTTTCTCAAAATATTGCCCTTTGCATGTTATGTATTTTTGATGCCTGTCAGGTCAAACAATCTTGGCAATTTCTTCCACTGTGACTTGTGGAGTTTTTGCCTACCATGCTTGGAGTTGTCATCCAGGGTCAAATCATCTCTTTTAAATCTCTTCTGCCACCTCATAAGTGTAGTTCTTTCTGGTATATACTCCTTATATACTTTCTTCATGGTAGCATACGTTTTGCTTGGCTGTGAGTCCAAGTGAAGTATGAAATTAGGCCACCAAACGCTAGGCTTTCTGTTATCAGGTGAGAATTGCAGCCATTTTTGCAATTTCTTGACTGCGACTGTATTTGAATTTGTGACTATTGAAATGTGGTATTATGAAATCACAGTGCGTAATGTCATTATTTGTACTCGGTTAACATCATGCTGAATAAATTTAACAATTTTCCAAACATTTTGACCATTTAAAAGAAAGAAATATTCATAAAATAACACTTTAGATCTTTTCATAATTACAAAAGTCGGTACCTGCCCCACCCACCCCTACCCCCATGTTGCTATAGCAACCATATTAAGACTTAATACTAATAATTGATGCTGAAACTTCAGGATATAATAGATAAAACTTCAATTGTTATATACACAAAATTTCAGCTTATTTGAAGAATATTGTAGAAAGTTAAAGTATATAGTGCATTACTTCTGGGACAACCCTCGTACATCTTCTGTATAAATGATTATTATTAGATTGTATTGTCATTTGAAATGACTGTGCCAAACATTGAATAAGAGTATCACTGTTTAATGACTAGCTTCAATGATCTAATTTTCATTTTAATACATGTAGATGTCTAGCTGTGGTAAAGTTTGTACTCTCATGCATGTATTTACTTATTAAGGAGTATGTATCCACTGGCAGGAGAGTTCCCCCTGAACTATTGCAGAACCCTCCAGGATCTCTTCAGAGCATAGAGCATCTCTGTTTCCAATCTGCAAAAATTCACTTTCACCGGAGAAATGATGTTGAAATGAAAGGTGCTCTGTCAAAGTTGCCATTTGAGACACAGATTGATTTCCTCAAGAAACATGGCAAGGTCGACCTTGTGGCTGAACTTTATGAGAAAGAAGGTATATAGATATTTTTATTTTATTATTTTTAGCACAATGAACAAAGTTTGAAAGGATATGGTGAAGCCACCTAAATAAGGGTATAACTCCACAAGTATTCCAACACTAACTGGAACACACCATCCACATAAAATTTAGAATTACACACATATATAATCACTAGTGGTGCAACTCGAATGCCAGTACTCGCCACTCACTCGTTGAACCTGTCCAAGATAGTTACTCGAGTACGTTTTTTCAAACTCGAGTAGGCATGTTTTATTATGAAGTGTTTTAAACCCCGGGAATGATGATTTTTTTGTATGCAATGAACGAAATAAAGTATCGATTCCGGAAACAAAATGAAAATATTTAAAAACAAACAAACACAATTATGGCATGAATAACTACATTTATTCTCACTAAATTGATACAAACTATATATAACATCAATAACATATAGAAGAAACGAAGAAATTGTATCTATTTGGTCTTCAAACAGTCGACTACTGAGGTGAGTTTTTTTTAAAAAATTTTTCCCTCATTTTTGCGAGTGGTACTCGATTACAGTGGCATTTTCACACTTTCTACTCGAGTAGCATTTTTCTTGCGAGTTGCACCACTAATAATCACTCACCAAAACACCACCCATGTAACATCAATATTCGATAGTTACTCATCAAGACACACAGCATCAAGAGTTACTCACCAGAACGCACAACATCAACAATTACTCACTAAGACACACAGCATCAATGATTATTCACCAAAACCTAACACATATCAGCAATTACTAACCAAAACACACAACATCAACAATTACTCACTAAAACCCACCATCAACAATTACTCACCAAGCCACACAACATCAACAATTACTCATCCCGGCACACAATATCAATAATTACTCACCAAGACACACAACATGAACAGTTACTCACCAAAAGACAACATCAACAATTACTCACCAAAACTCACAACATCAACAATTACTTACCAAGACACACAACATGAACAGTTACTCACCAAAAGACAACATCAACAATTACTCACTAAAACTTAAAAATTCAGCAAGAATGCAAGTTGTCAATGTTTGTTTTAGGACAACTTCTGAATGCTGCGAAATACTTACGTGATATTGGCCAATTGAAAAAGGCAATTAGATATGCCCAAGGCCAAGCTAATGAGGATAAACAATTCCGAGCTGATTGCCTGCTGACCTACTGCAAGACAACCATGGACTTGCACAATGGACCAGTGAAATTTGAGAAATACAAAGCTGAGTCAAGTGAACGAGAGGAGTTGATAGGATATCTAACTGAAGCAGTTCATCTTTTCTCAACTTCTAAGGATATTATGGGACTAGGTGATGATTCTATCCAGTTTTCTGATTTCGCAAAATTTGACTCATCAGTGTACATGTTCATTCTCTTTTGACCCATATAAATTTATTGTGTACATTAACCCTTTGCTTGTTTAACAGGTGATGCATATCTGCTGCTCTACCTTGTGAAGCTAGATGAAAAACTCTTGAAGCCAACATTTGAATGTTTTGGCCAATGCAACAATGTGGTTGGTCAGCTTGAATTCCTTGTAGCAGTAGAACAGACAAAGGGCCTCCATTCTGGAAACATTTCAATGTGTTACCCAGTCTTCAAGCAATTGATTACTCTACTGGTTGTCCTAGGCAAGGATGAAAACTCAGATTATAGGACCCAAGCAGAAAAGGCAATGATTGTAACCTGTGAGGGATTTCTAGGAATATCACAAGGCCAACGTAGAAGCAAACGCAAGATCAAAAGAAATCAAGGTAGCAGAGGCGAAGTATTCTTGAAGCACCTGATTACTCAAGAAATGTCTAAACTAGGAGAATCCTACAAAGATGAGGTACTTAGTTAGTATAGCCTTTTTTCATGACATATATTGTGTTATTAGTACAAGCAGACAAGCATGAGACATTTCTGTACATTTTGTTATCCTTTATTTTTAGATTGATTTCTTACCATGCAGGAAAGAAATGAAAAGTTATCTTCTCGAAATGTTTAAGAGTTTGGTGAAAACATTCCGGAGAATTCTGTCTGCAGAGATAGAAAAGCTGACACTGTGCCCTCAATTCAAAATCGGTTTGTATTATGGAATTCTTATAGTCATGATTTAGTACTAAGAATATGCACAAGTACCATATGAGTAAGATAAGACCAAAAGAAATACAGAAAGAAAAGGAATGTTTAAAGCACAATGAGAAATATGATCTTTACAGATTCTAAGCATCCCAAACAATGATTAAGCATACAAAGAAGCAGTGTCTTACCCATCCTCTTCCCCTAACAATGTGTGTTATATTATAATTGAATTATAAATCCATTGTAGGTAAAGATTGCGAGGATTTAAACAAATGCAAAGGCATTAAGCGGCATTATCAGAGAGAAGATCTACAGCACCTTGTTGATAGAACTGTGAAGCTGCTCACGCTTGATGCTATCATCCATGAGGCAACAACAATGAAATACCATGAGCAAAATGACTCCAGAATAGGCATTGTAAGCCAGCTAAAGAAGATCATTGCTAAACCGTTTGCTTCATGTGAGGCCCTGTATGAAATCCTTTTCCCCAGTGGTGGCCATTCTGTGATGCTTAGCTCTAGTCCCATTGCAGGAGTTCAAGTCCTGGCAGCAATAAAGTTTGAGATGGTTACATCACATCTTCAGAGATGGGCAGAACATATATGGTCCACCGAAGAAAACCGTCTGAGCAGTGCAGATGCTTTCCTGAAAGTGTCCAACATCCATCGCTTGATAGGGCTGTCAAACAAGAAGATGGATGATATGCTTTGCAAGGCTGCAGATGAATACAAGCGTAGTGTGATGAAGAAAGCCCATCCAGAGAAAATTCCTAAAACTGTTGGCATCATATGTGAAGAGAAGGAAGCTAGAGAAATACGTCATATGTTACAGAAAATGAAAGGGAAGATTCCCCAGGCTGAGAGGTACATGTTCTTGAGTGTCATGTGCCGTTACCATAACTACGTCCAATGGCTTCACTTTACCTCAAATCCAGTTAGTGCCATGCTGCAGATGAGCAAGTTCATAAACACCCTATCACGAAAAGCTACACTGCCTCTGATACCATCCATTGCAAATGCCATATTGTGCCTTGAACTGGAAACAACTCTCCTTTTCACAATTCGTTGTGCCTTTGATGCTCACGTTTGCAAAACCAGAACGTCTGTCCTACTGCCCTCAAGCTTTCTAAGTCAAATGAACTGGCAGGACACTCTGGCTAAATCACAGAAGTCTGGGAAATCTACATGCGAAGCTGTGTTGCAGGCAATAAGATCTCCAAATGTCATCAATAAAGGCAGAATTGAAACTGCAATGAAGGAATTTTGCCACTCAATCAAAATTCTCTGTGGTGTTACAGAATTTGACATCCTTCAAGATGCGTTTGACCCAGAGTACCATGTATACATTCCATCTGGTGAAGCAGAGAGATGCCTTGTTCTAGCCCTTGTTCTCCTTAGCAATGTGAATCTTGTTGTTCCCATCGAACAGGAAGTTAATCTCATGTGTGCTTTGAAACAAATCAAGCCCCATCTCGGTCTGCCAAAACGTCTCAGAAATGCAATTAAAGCTGTACATGATGCAGATGGGATCAAAGATGTTGTCTTTGCTCTTCATAATTTACTCTGGGAGAAAAATGAGAAGCTACTCTTGTGCAACTGGGAACCAACAGATGGAATTTATGCCATGAAGGGATCCCCAGCTAAGCCTGCATCATTTCCAAGCACCTTTTACAACCCTGGGCTGGATTATGAAATGGTTAATGAAAATGGGTATGACATGGATGAGGAAGAACCCGAAGAGTATGATGGAGGCATGTCTCATACGGAGCAACAAGTTGCTCAGGAAAATTCAGAGAGGGTTGAACAAGAGAATAGAGCAGCAAAAATCATTTTGAAGCAGTTACTCAAGTTTCGATTGATTGCCAAATTGTACAAGATCCATTTGATTAGAAATAAAGTTGAGGAAAAGAAAGTTCAAGATCAACAGCTGCAAGAGTTGGAGACATATGGAGTCGATGATTCAATGTGCTCAATATGTGGAATACAGTTTGTGCAACCATTGAACCCTAATCTTCCGGAAGCAGTTGGCTTAGCAGCTAGATCTTATATGCTCCCAGTGCCAGTTGGTCAAACGTGGGTTACTGAAGAAGAAACAAAAGTCCAGGTTTTGGAAACATCTCATACAAATACAGCTGAAGGAGCCCCTAATATGAATGGTATGACCAAGAAAAGTCACATTGCAACATTTGAGCATATCCAAGCGGCACTATCTTATAAGATATACACAAAGGTCTTCAATGAAAGGATCATCCCAGCTTCTACTAGATTTACAAATTTGAAAATAATGGTTGGGAAGGTGAACAACCCCAAAATGGTAAGACTTAAGGAGTTGGATGTAGGGACATTGGAAACTAAGTACGGGGCTCTTATGGATTTGTTTGGCCAAACAACCAATGCAAGGCAGTGGACAAGGGTGAAGGAATTGGAAGATGGTGTTGGTGTTATTGAGAGTGAACTGAGCAGGATTGGGAAGATCTATCAAGAAGTTCTCCAGGAAATGCACAATCAAAAACAGGTACAGTACATAAATATCTTCTGGAACTTTTAGGGTCTATGCAATATCCACATTAGTATTGTCCTTAAATAGTCAAATCACTGTGGTATGTCATATTTCAGCAGTTTTGATCAGCATAGTGTTTTGAAATACATTTTCAGGCTTCTCAGACTCCTGCCCATGTGATGTTTGATGAACGGGATGAGCGATCACTTCCTCCATCTGTACACGCCCAGGACCTTGAGGAAGAGTTATCCCATGCACCATATGTTGAGGATGAAGCTGGTCATTTGTTACAAGTCACAGAGAAATTTAACAAACCCAAAGGTCGAGGCCGTGGTCGGGGTAATCGAAAGTGACACTATGAGAGGATATTAAGAACAATAGAAATATTGATTTGACCCACTGAGAAACATCCATATTGGGTACAGTTGTATAGAGTGGATGTAAAGAGCAGAAAAATTTCTCATTGGACATTTAAACTGCCACATTTGTCAGTTATGGGCTGTTCCATCTGCCTTCCATACCCAATTGTGCCATTGCTGGGATATTCACAAATCAATACCCTTGATTAGGGAACGAGGAAATTTTTTCTAATGAAATGTACATTCCTGTTTATGTCATTTAAAAGTTAAAGTTGCAGTATAAGTTTGGCTGATCACATGAAAACTTATATTGAAAGCGTTCTATTTTATCATAAATGTATTAATAACAATTTTTGAGGAGAGTGCCTTGTGAATAGGGAATAGCCAGGAATGATCTGATGTATCGAGAAACACAACTAAATGGTTAAACTATGCTTTTCATTGAATTGCTTCCAGAGTTAAGGTGAAATTAAAGTTAATCAAAAGTACAAAAAGATGGCAGCCATATTTCTTGATAAAGTCAGAAGATTTTGTATAATGTTTTCCTTGTATGTGCATGCATTTCCTGACTAAACAGACACGTCAAAGAAAACATCACATTTAAACGCATTTTTCAAAACTATGAATTGGAGGTGCATGGACCCCCAAAGCTAGCATCAAGAGTGTGAAGTGAGGCTAATTTTTGAAAGTTTCAAGGAGTTGCCTTGCAACAGTCACACATTTGCAAGAATCCAAAATTACCACAAATCATCTTACCTTACCAAGGAACATTGAAGAAGCATGAAAATGTGCACTTCTTGCTTTGTTAGAGTTTGATAAAACTCAAACCATAGTTTCTTATAAATATTTCATGTCCACCATTTTGTTTGCTGGAACTACTTCTAGACTTCCCGATTAATCCTCATACAAGTTTTGTGACTTCACCAAGTGGCATGGATTATCATAAGTATATTTTATCTATAACAGTATAATTATCATGATAGATACATCATTGAGGCTTTATAAATGATGTACAATGGATACATGAGTTAGGATTACTTTGGACTAGAAAATAGTCACAGAAAACAAAATGGTGGACATGAAATATTTAGAATTCACAATGGTTTGAGCTTTATTATACTCTAACAATGCAAGAAGTACACATTTTCATGCCCCTTCGATGTTCCTTGGTAAGGTAAGATGATTTGTGGAAATTTTGAAGTCTTACAAATGTGTCTCCATTGCAATCCTACTCCTTGAAATTTTAAAAAGTTATCCTCACTTCACTGTCTCCATGCTAGCTTTAGGGACCCATGCACCTCCAATTCATAGTTATAAAAATGCGTTTTAATGTGAAGTTTTCATTAACATGTCTCTAGTCAATCAGTGCATCTGGTGACTTTATCAAAAAAATATGGCTGCCATGTCTTTGTACTTTTGATTAATTTTAGCATTACCTTAATCAATATTTACCTTTTTTGTTAGAACGTGTATATGCTTCATTAAAACAATTGTCAAATATACCTTATTTAAAATTTGGATCAAATTTTAAGAACCTTCCATTTTCAAATTAGCTAGCATTTAGTGCATATTTTTGCATGATACATCGCTACCTAGAAACATTGACATACATCTGATCAATAAGTATCGTATTATCTAGTACAGTTAAGCATGGAAGGGTTAATGGGAAAGGAATGTTATTTTTCCATTGGGATGAATAGTTAAAAGTTAAAATGCTTCTGATATGTCTCATGTACACTATTATCCCTCTAAAAGAAGTTCGTGAGGAATTTTGAGAAGCTGTCTATTTGTTTATTCGTTCAATTGTCTAGGAGATAACTCCAATACTGGTTGATCATTTGTGTTAGGAATTAATGGGCTAAAGTCCTATTGGCATAGAATCTCGCAAACGATTTGCAATATGGCCTCTTAATTAAAAATTGGCTGCAATATTTTTTCAAAATGAAATCTTTGATCATTGAAATTCCAGTTGACATTTACTAGTAATATTTTGATGTCCTAAGAAAATTTTCAAGTTGTTCATTTGATATCAAAATTGCCACCATTTTCACGATTTGGTCTAAAGGAGCACGTAGGTTATCACAAACTATTTCAGACGGTTATATCTTGGATTAAGACTATTTTCTGACAATGATGACAGGTATATCTTTTAGATCCAATCATTATCTCAAAGAAAATTATATACAGTAATAATAGAGTCAAACAGACTCGGAGATATTTAACTAGCAATCAACCCATTGCCACACTTTTCAAAGATTTTGACCTCATTTCCACCAAAAAATGCAATCATTTTTTTTACATTGTTTAACATGTTTAATGCATTACTATTCTTTATTTTAATGTATCAAATATTTCTTGAAAGAAAAATTGCTGATAAGTGTTCCCCATGTTATTTTTCCATTGAAAAATCTCATGCTATCCATTGGTTTCAGAACATTTTGGTCATCCAAATTCAGTATCTTTAAAGTCCCCCGAGCAATTCATGGCCACTTTTCCCCTTAGGATATAGAACATGTCTCAAAGCACATAAATAAAAGGTTGCATTTTTGGTGAAAATAAGGTCAACATTTGAAAAAGTATGTTGATTTGTCCATTGCCCCTTCAATATCACTTAAGTCTAATTAACTAAATTATCATTATATATACTTTTCTCGAAGATAATGAATGGATCTAAAAGATACACCCATGTTCATGACCAGAAAATATTCATAATTCAAGTTAGAATCGTTTGAAATTGTTTGCGATAACCTACGTGCTCCTTTTATAGAAATATAATTGCTGATAGGCTAACTGAAATATCAGTTAGTAGATTTGGTCCACGTTTTATAGCTAATATCTCACGGAATATGACCTCTTCTGAAGAAAGGAACACCAATTATGACTGCTCAATTAAATTGCATGCCTTTTTTGTAAAAATATTTTTTCGAAGAACTATGATATTTGTAAACTGAAATACCTGTTATTAGATTTGGTCCGAATTGTATATGCTCCTATTTGACAAGAATAGAACCCCTTTCTAATAATTTAAGGAATGTCAATTATGGCTGCTGATTTCAAAATGGGTAAATAGAGGGTGACGTTTCCAGAAAGTGCAATCTTTGGTAAACCATTGTTTGTCATGCCTACATGTTCAAAAGTTTACAATTGCAGATAAATGCGGATGTTTAGTCCGTTGCTTTGGTAAAATAATACATTCGTGATAGTGTGTACATTTGGGTATCGATGAAACTGATTGCAATTACTGAAGGTCCTCAAGCAATGACATGTATCATTTTTAATGAACCTTCTATGTTTGTAAAGCTGACCACTAATAACCAAGCCATAAATATTTGTTTGCAATAATTTTTATTTGAAATTTATTTTTGTTTTCACTATATTTGATATAACAATAAATTTTGAAACTTTATCTCGTGTTATATTTAATTTATAAGAATGTCTGAATGTTTTAATTTCACTTAGATATCTCATATAGCAGACATGTCCATAATAGTATCAATTAAAGAACACTTTGTATGATACAATGTGCCCATTGTCATAGGCGAACAGCATTTGCTCCCTGGGATTGTATGACATGGAATACATGCTCCTGAACAATGCTGGAACTGTCAGCGGGGTGAAAATCCTTTGGTTGCTCTTGGTGTCGAAGCCCCACTGGGTCTCATCTGGGCTTGGATCAGTATAGGTATTCATGGTGTACATAACACCACAGATGAAGTACACATTGCTCACAGATTTCTTTGAGATAGTGCTATCCCATGTTTCTATCGTATGTAGGTCAGTTGGATCAAGTCGGGCTATCATGATATTGCTGTGGGTAGCATCTGATCCATTGGTGTATGCAGCCCATAAGCCCTTTTCGTCCACGTTGATATCAATGTAGGTGTAGTCGTTTCCACGGTTGTAGTACCTTGAATTCAAAGAACAAACTATCCCATACTTAGGAAATATGAGGATTGGGTTCTCTAGCAGTAACAATATCAATACATGTTAATAGTATATAATTATTTTAATATTGCAAATTTAACACTAGAGTCAACTTTCATTTAATTACTCACAAGTTAGTGTGGCCACCTGCAATCTTTGCCCTTGCTTTGTATGAACTTCCATGGTCATTCCAAATATCCTTTCGCACAATTTCACCCGAATTATCCAAGTAATAGAGGTTGCTTTTGTACATCGCAATATTAGCTCCATATAGATAATCGGGGTGGATCCTGTTGATTTGGTTACCAACGTAATCTTTTAAAAGTTCTTTATGGTTATTCCATTGATGGATATAAGGATTCCCAACATGACCCTTCAGTGCAAATATGTGAGTTTTGTTTTCTTCTGAAGGAAGTGCATCTTTGAACCAAGTCCCAGTTACTCCAAAGTATTGGTGAGTCACAGGTTGTCCGATTTTAATTGGTCTCTTTGTTTCACATATTTCTAAAAGGAATAACAATAAAAGAGACATGATATTGAATATCATGTACTTGCATAATGATTTTCATATCAGGATGTTAATATTTCTTTTGACTATTTTATATCTAGTGCTAAAACGTGCAATTGATAAATCATAACCATTTAATGTGTAAACAATTTGATATGCTATAAAAGAAAGAGCAGAGCAGATCAAAGCAACTAAATGTATGTCCTAAATCCTGGCATAGACAAATGATCAAATTCAATAATTGACCAACATTTAGAAAATATTTAACAAAATAAGATAGACTTGGGATCTTTTCCCGGCGTCGGGGTTTTATTTACCATCATCTAAGGCATCCTTTACTGAGGTCAAATCTCCAGGGAAGATATAGCCATCTTCAATGTTGTCCCCTAGGTCTCCCTTTAGCTTGGCCAATTGAGCTCTCAGCTGGGTTATCTGAATTAAAAAAAACATGTTAAAGTTTAATAATCCCAAAGAATGAAGTTTGTTCGGGAAAATAAGACAATTCAGGTAATGAATGAAGTCAATCTAAATGCCATACTTGATTTGGGAATCATATCTTGTAGAAGATTGTTCCCTACCTCCATTGACTTTACATTATATAAGCCTTGTAAATGATTGGAACTTTTAATTATTTCTAATTCAGTCATCATGTCTCATATCAAGTTAATAATAGCCAGAGACATATAAAACAGTATGTCTCTGTTATAACCAAGCATATAGTTTGAAGAACAATTTTTCTAAATTATTAAAATTCTTATTCTCATTGATGGCGAAAACATCTTTATTATGTAATGATGTAGCAAGAAAAACTCATATAATTATTATATTTCACCTCTGCCAACAGGTCGGTGTCACTATCAACTGGATCCTGCCTAAGGAAGTGTTCAACAATAGATGACATGTTTGCGATCTCCTCCCTCATCTGTATCAATGTTGCATTGTTCTGGGCTGTTACTGGGATATGGTCAATTAATCCAGACATGATATCCAACTCAAGTCGAAGCACTGTAAGGTTCTGAAATGTGAAATTTTAATAAATGTTGGTGTTTTAGCTCCCCTTACTGTTTACAGACAGGACATTCCCATGATTTATGTACACAGGGAGATATGCCGAGTACTATAATAGTATTCATGACATTTTAGCACTAATTGACACGAGTACTGATTTATTGCATGTTTTAGTACTAAATGAGTACTCATGATGAGTGATAAAATAGCAGTAATTTCATTGATTTTTTAGCGCTAAATTGGTACTCATATCATGAATCATCAGTGATAAAATACTAATTTAGTACTAATTGAGTAATCGGCATATCTCCCTGTGTATGTGGTTTCCATGTGTGTCTCCTGTCTAAATACTTGAACTGAGCATATGAAATTTAAGTAGGAAGCTGGATGGCAATTCGGACAGAGGAATAATCATTGATTGTTACACTTTTTATCTGTTTATCAAAAATTTCAGCTCAGTTTTAGGCTTGTTAATGTTTTATTCAAATGTTCCTTGTCATATTTCCAATTTCCTCAATATCTCTGCATTACTTATAGCTTTACTTAGAGGATAATTGAAGCTAACAAATACCTGAAAAAACATGCAAGAGTGGCAGTAAAAATATACCTGAACACTGACTGCCACCTTTAGGTCATCCATCTTAGAATCAACAGCATCTACTCTAGCAGTGAGTTCTACTACCTTGTCTTTCAGCCCCTTTGTGCTCAATGTCTTGAGAAATTCTGGAATGTAAATAGTATTCTGCACCTAGTATTCTGCACTTATAATATGAGCATAAGTGTTAATATAGGGAGAACCATAGCCTTGCCCAAGTGGGTAATTTTTTACCTATCTGATCTTGAATTATTACCGGTCATAATAAAAATCTAGAGAAAGAGAAGAGACCGACTTCGGCAAGGCTGGGAGGACCAAAACATATTCCCCAAAAATATGGTTAAAAACATCCAAAATAATAAAATCGCCCATACATAAGGCAACCAAATCTAGCCCTCCAAATAAAGATCTAACATACAAAGAAACAGAGTCTAATGTCCCCGTCATGGGTGTCTTTCATTCCTTAAATGATATAAGTAACAAATAACAAGAATTCAGTTTTAGAACTTATCAGATTTGAACTTATGTAATGCATTACTACTGTACCTATTAAGCTGGCAGCTGTCGCCTTTAGTTCCTCAAGTTTGTCATATTTTGCTTGAGGAGTACACATGTCTGCTGGTCGTGACACTTCTGGGGACTTCACCATACACTCACACGAATCTTTTTTAGCAGTAGTCACCAACTGGTACCTACTGTAGTCTATAGTCTGGAAAATTAAATTGGATATTCACATTAAAGTTGATGCAGTTCAGTTTGTTACAAATAGTCTTCTGATTACCTTACACAATTTGACTTAACTTGATTCATGTTAAAATTAACTTGTAATATTTAATTTTTTCAAGAAACAAATCAAAAAGACATATGGGTACATTTGCTTTCAAACAATAACATACGTAATTATAATGTCCAAATGGCAAACTGAACAAAGTAAACCGAATACCTGCGCGTATGAAAGTGCCATGAGGCCAAACAGCATCACCAATGGAAGCAGAGTCTTCATAATTGTTGTTATTGATCTTGTCAACTTTGCTTTTCAGTAATGTTCTTGTTAACTTTCTAAATCCAACTTATATAGTATTTGTCAACCATTTGCAACACTTGTTCCACTGCAAGACTTGCTAATGATTAATCAAATTGATTTTAATTGTTCAATTAAGGATTAATATGCCTAATTAAGTAACAATTAGCAACACCAGTGTTTCATTAATTTGGTTTAAATGCATTTTTTTTCATGCTTCGACATATTAGTAATTGCTTACAATAAAATGGTATCAAATTCACTTTGCTGTTTCAAGATTCTTTAAAGATAATGTAACGAAAACATAATTAAGAATTATTTACTTATAACTCATGCTAATGGGTCATTATTGGAATGTGTTACTTGTAAATGCAATCTTGTGAGCAACAGTTTTATTGAATAAGGTAAATAGTAACTAAATCAAATAGTTTTAAACTTGCAGTTCACAGAATGTAAGCAATATGCATTTAGATATAAAATAATATACAATGTACAATATGAGGAACATCATGAAAATGGGAAAGATCGATGAAATCAAATTGATTTTTATTAGACCTATATTTATAGGGCCTTAAACTAGATATTGTTGGACCCCTGGGTCGGTCCAATTCATTCTTAAAAGTTTATCTAATTTTGTAAAGAATGACAAACTAGTCAATTCCTTAATACTCATACTTTATTTAATAATTTTGAAGTTTAGTCCAAACAGTTACAAATTACAATACATCTTCACAATCTAAAGCCAAGCCGAAAAGGTGACTACAATGCTTTACAAGTGCTTTTTATTCTAAGACCAAGTGAGGAAAGCAATAAAATACAAAAACAATTAATCATCTTCATTACAAAAGTATTTGAGACTCGGCCCACTGATCTTTCCTCAGTCGGCTCAGTAAGGTCAACTCGGGGACACAGTGAGTAAAACAATAAATTTGGAATAAATGACACAAGGTCAGTAAAAGTCCAGAGTGAGAAAAACAATTAAAAAGATAACAGAAATGAGTCCAGTCTCACTGAGCCCTACCTCACTCTGTTACTGGGTCAATAAAATGTCATGCAAGAACACTGAGTGAGGAAAACTATCAATCTGTCAACATCTTTTTGATGCCTGAGTTTCAACTTTTTGGGAGAAACCCATAAATCTCATAACATGACATACTGAACTTTTAAACCCATATAGGTGAAACAAGTTGTTCCTTGACCATTCAAAACTGTCAACCAAATGATAAGTTCCATGCAGCAAATATTTAATCAAAATATAAGTTTACAGTGTGCTCCTGAAAATGTCCAACACACCACCCTCCCCAGTTCAAATTTACTCCTGGAAATTTTACACTGATTGAAACCTTACAATTGTTGCTAAAAACTGTCACACATAAAAAATAAAATAAAACCTATAATCAATTTCAAATGATACAACTTAAGTAAAATTATATCTACATAATTAAATCAATCCATAGTATAAGTACAGGCTATTACTACTTCAAATGTCAACAACAACATTTACCAGAGGCTAAAATTCTTCCACCTGTTTAAGGATGGGTCAATTATAAGGATAAAATCCTTATTTCTAACACACAACAAGTATATTTAGTTGCAGGGATCTGTTACCAATGTACTGTCTTCTAATGTTCTCACAGTTCCAACTTAAGGTCATTTAAACATAATAGAACTGTCTGTATCAAATCTAAGGGAACACTGTTAAATAAGGAAACAGTAGATTTCAACTTCACAAAGCTGCAAAATCATTAGAAATAAATGTCCAAAATATTTCCTTAAACAAAACTACAACCAAAATTGTCAAAACATCAATTACAGCATTTCTCTGCTTCTCCAAAACATTTTCATGTGCACTTTAATCGATCAATGTCACTTGCAAGATCCCTACACAGTAGCGTGAATATTCAGTGTTCTCAAAGGGGCCCTTCACCCAACAGCTAGGTTACTCTCCCAAAATACGAATCACTGCACGTTATACCCGTACTCCAAAATGGCCATTCAGAATCTTGCATCACACGAGAGATGACAGCTACACATGTTAATAAATCAACCACAGCTTGTCTTTTCAAAACAAGTGATCGCATCAGTATCACAGACATAATCCTTGTTCTCCCTGCATTAAGTCTTCACATACCTGATGCTGAGGTTATTAGTTGTGTCTTTGTTTGGCTACTCTGCATCGAGATGTGACACATGTGCACGAAACACACCTTTTGAGAGTCTGCATTCTAAAGCCTTAGAACCTTATACGAAAACAGCCCTTGCCAACAACAAGGATACACTAAACACTATCACACTAATTGTCCCTCAATATCATCTCTGTATAACACGTATCACCATCAGTAGATATACAGTTCATCCTAACACTCAGATAGTCTCTGGGCCCTCTTATCTGAGTTAAAACACAATATTTCCGGAAATCGATCATCAATCACATCTGCGTGATTGGAACTTGGGTACCGCAATACGCTAAACATCCAGCTTTCCTTTGGCTGAAGTCACCAACAAAAGTCAGGTATAGGCATACTCGTCTATATGCCTTTCTACAAGATATGGGCTGATATACGAATTCTACAAGTGTAACGACCTGCCAAGAACCATCAGCTTGCATATCTCTACCCGATGTAGCACAATAAAACTCAAAATGCCTGTACAATGAGGAATGTGCCCTCTCATTGTTATCGGTCTTCACGAAGCAACTTCTATATCCCAGATATCAAATTGCTATCTCCATGATGCAAGGTCCTCAAAACAAAAGTCATAATAAGCAGAGACACTTAACATCTCTGATACCACAGTGATTGTTCCTTACTCGACATCACACATAAATCGACTAAATGGTTATGCAATGTCTCGTCTCTGAGTCCATACAACTATGTGAAGCTGGATATCGAAGCAATTCATATCCCGAGTTGACATCTTCAGATATGTAAACACATAAAACGAGTACTTTATCCAAAAGTCTATCTTGTTCACAAGAATATATCCTTTAATTTTGAGAAATGTCCGCGTCTGTCCAATCAAATCCAACATCAAATACATGAGCCTGACAACTCGTTTTCCGTTCTGATGAAATTGTTCAGCATTGTCTCAAAATAATAGCATCCTAATCATGTGCAACAATCTCTTCAAACACTTCCAAAGCAGCCATGCTTTTTCCTGCTTTTCTCTCAAAATTTTCCAAGTTCAAATTTTTCCAAAACAAAATAATGGTCACTGAAAGTTCATCAGCTGGCTTGCTGATAAACAGCAACTGAAGCAATGGTCAGTAAGTCCATTTGTTTACCTCAATCAAAGCAACTCAAAATAATGTTCAATCTTAGTTTCTTGTTTACATCATATTTCCAGATCTAAAAATTCCAATTCCATCTGTTTATGAATCAATAGATCAATTTGACCAGTTCCAATCCTAAATAATACATTCACTGAATTCGGTAGCGTTTTTCAATCAAAAGCATGTTAAAGTCCGTAATTATAAGTCTCCAGAAATCCTTATGAAATGTTATATAAAATCCTACCAGGCTGCCACCAGTGTTGGACCCCTAGGTCGGTCCAATTCATTCTTAAAAGTTTATCTAATTTTGTAAAGAATGACAAACTAGTCAATTCCTTAATACTCATACTTTATTTAATAATTTTGAAGTTTAGTCCAAACAGTTACAAATTACAATACATCTTCACAATCTAAAGCCAAGCCGAAAAGGTGACTACAATGCTTTACAAGTGCTTTTTATTCTAAGACCAAGTGAGGAAAGCAATAAAATACAAAAACAATTAATCATCTTCATTACAAAAGTATTTGAGACTCGGCCCACTGATCTTTCCTCAGTCGGCTCAGTAAGGTCAACTCGGGGACACAGTGAGTAAAACAATAAATTTGGAATAAATGACACAAGGTCAGTAAAAGTCCAGAGTGAGAAAAACAATTAAAAAGATAACAGAAATGAGTCCAGTCTCACTGAGCCCTACCTCACTCTGTTACTGGGTCAATAAAATGTCATGCAAGAACACTGAGTGAGGAAAACTATCAATCTGTCAACATCTTTTTGATGCCTGAGTTTCAACTTTTTGGGAGAAACCCATAAATCTCATAACATGACATACTGAACTTTTAAACCCATATAGGTGAAACAAGTTGTTCCTTGACCATTCAAAACTGTCAACCAAATGATAAGTTCCATGCAGCAAATATTTAATCAAAATATAAGTTTACAGTGTGCTCCTGAAAATGTCCAACAATATTTACTGTGATTTTTGTTCACTCAAAAAATTAAGAAAGGATAGCTAGATATTTCTAGTTGTATCGTATAAGCCCCCTCCTTATTGAAGTCTTACTATCTATTGACTGGAGTTCTGTGTCTCTGTTCTACTTAGTGCTAAAGGTCTTTCACACTCATAAGTAAGTTAGAAACATAGTTGCCAATTGTAATCCTACCAGACTGACAATTAGTCTATTGCGCCCTAGTTAGCAATTGATGCGTTTTTACCTCTGGAGTATAAAAGACCATTCAGAAATTAACAGGAAATGAAGTAGAGATGATGAACAGGATAAGTGTCAGTGGAAACAATGCTTAAATTGACTACTATTGTGGCAAATCGTGCAAACTATCTATTTCCCCGTTGGGAATGATCCGGTCCACTGACTTTTGCATACCAAAAGTTTTTTAACTTTTTTGATTGATTGTACTGTTTGTTGTTTTTGGTTTCAAACAAAATTAATGGCACCTTTAAAGCCATGTTTTGTTAATTGCATCAGATAATTATTTCTTTAAGATTAAAAATCACTTAAAGTTTCAACTTTTCTGTAACACATTTTGTTAATAAGGGTTATTTATAAAATAAATATTCTCTTGAAAGCATGTTCACGATGTTATGCTTTATGATTGAACATTATGGTGAAGCGATTAGGCATATTTTCTTGATTTTTAAGAAAAGAAATCTACAAATAATGAAAATAATTAATTGTGTAACATGTTTTCAAAATCACAACAGAACAAAATTAAATAAATGCTTGTGTGATGGTGTAGATTAACATCAATAACCAATTTGCCTCAGATTTTCTTAATTTGAAAACTTAGTGAAATTTTACAAATGATAATTGACATGATAGAAATCATATAGAAGAAGCATATTTTACTAATTTCAAGAAAAACAAGAATATTAGTGCGATAAATTACCAAGCACATTGTATAAAAGGGAAGGAAATTGACAGAATATTTACCATATTGCGCACCAGACATCAAACTACTTTGCTGTGACAAGAAAGAAAAATGAAGTTTGTGTTTCTGTTGCTCGGTGTATGTGTAGCCTATATGGCAGCAGAGGTAAGTTTATTTGTTGCTTAATTTTACTGTAACCATGACACCCGCTGCCTGGGTGAGTTTTTCTTTGAATACCTGTTGATTTTGAAATAACTATAGTATTTTCACAAAAGGTTTGTACATGCAAGTTTCAAGATATTCTGAATTAGGCGCATTTGAATAAGGTTAAAAATTGAATAAATTGTGAATTGTTCCAGCACATTTAATAATGGTTCAAAAATGGAAACCCTGCATTTTCATGATATCTTTGTCACTTTAACTTACTCTCTGATTTGACATGTTAGTACATCATTCAGTTTTCTACCAGACTACCATATTCCATGCCCATCTGAGTAATGGTCACAATGTTATAGCCCTTTGACCAAAATGCCCAAGGTGTGCATGTGGCAGACCCGGACAAGTTGCCAATGGCCCGACTGAATTCCTCAGCAGGTATGAGGTGAATGACAAAGATGATCTCGCTTTTGAGGTCTGTAATTATCCTGAGGTCACATAGAGACATTTTAGACGATATGAGCAGGTTTGCCTACAGTGCAATAGTGGTCATTGGATCATGTTGTGTTGTTTTCTACCCTACATTCTGATGGTCAAATGGTAGGTAGACTTGTAGAAAATTAGATGATTTACATATGTGCTAAAAACATGTATCAAGGAGTATCCTTTTAAAATGATAAAGATATGAGGAAAATATCAACAGAGTTTCCACTTTTTTACCACCCTGTCTGATTCAGGAGAATCAAAAGAAATTAACGTTGGTGAATTTTTATTTGTTCAGGATTCAGTGAGATTTAAGAGGCAGATGACCCCACCCCCAACTACTATATCTAGTACTCTCCCCACCACAATGACCGCCAAGCCACCTACAACACCCCCTATTCCAACCACCAAGATAGCAACTAATCCGGCACCAACCACAACAGCCAAGGCACCAACAACTATTGGTCTACCAACAACGACACCAGATCCAGAAGAATACAGTGTCCAGGCAAGCAAAACTGATGACCATTGCACATGCAGCGTTCGTGGACCTGAGATAACAGAGGAATCGATTTGCTACATTGAAAGAGATTTCCAAGGTAAGCAGCATCTTTGCCGAACTTAAAACATAAAATATAGTTGATTGTTTTGCTTTATGTACATACAGTACAACAAACCATAAAGTTATAATGTTTTAAGGCGACTAGCAGTTTACCAAATAAAACAGAAATCCAAAATGACCTTAATTATTCAATTGTCATAACTTCATGTATGCTCTATGAGTAGTAACAGGTTTTAGTTTCTTTACTGTCTTTCTATTTCCACAGGGTTGCTCGATCTTGAAGCTACAATTTTATCAATTGTGGCCAAGGCCGATGGACTAACAGCTAGCACAGTGGGCAATGAGTTAGTTAGCCTTGAGACACTTATTGAACATTTAGAATTGAACTACCTCAGTCAGTCTATGAATATTAATTATCAGGTACGTGGTTTTCATTACTTGTCATGTAACAATAAATGACTACAAGGAATTGCAGTATTTCAAGAGAATAAGCAGAATAAGCAGACAATGAAGAACATGACTTTGTAATGAGGGAGGTTTTTGTACCTGTTGAATTTTGGGTTTAGTTGCAACTGCAGAAAAACCTGTGTAATTAATGTACCAGCTTTTGTTATTTAGTAAACAACTACTGTATAAATTAAAACTGATTTATCCAACCGAAAATTACATTCCTCATTTACCAGGCAAATTTCAAGTGAATTGGTTGAAAAATAATGAAATGGCTGATAAATTTCCAGAACTTAGTGATCACCCTGTATAACGTAGATTAAAATCTCATGAAAATAACTGCAACTAGACACACCTTTTTTTTAAATTTCTACTAAACTTCAGACATATATGGATTCATTTATTTCCTGAACATGTAGGCTTTAGACGATATTAAAGTAAAACTGCAACAACTCACATTTCTTGTGGAAAACCTTGATGTTAACAAGACAACAGAGGCCCTAGTGAACCAGATGACGGCTGATATGTGGATCGCTTCAGAAGAGGTGGATGGACGCTTGGAACTCAACAGTGTTTACATTCATAAGGATTTAGTGAACCAAGTAATAATTTTAATAGTTTTTTGTTATTTAATTTTCTGTTATATGTGTTCCTCTTTATGATGATATGCTATATACATTTATTTTACTCATCTTAAACAAGATGATCTCTTCTATTGGATATATAAATGTGAACTTTTATATGCTCCATGCAAATGTGCAAAGCTTACAAAAATATTTCAAATTACTGACTAGCATTCCTTATTTTTGGAAATTCCCACTAAGAAGAGTATTGAAACTTTTGGCAACAACATAAGTCTTTACTCTTTTTGTGAATACATATTGGTAATAATATATTGAGTTGTTTTATGATTTTTCTTGACTATAGAGTCCCATACACAACAAATAATTTCCTTTAGATTTGAACCTGGAGACCAGGGCAGCTATAGAATCTGTCCCATGGTCTCATACAGAACTGATTTATTTGTTTCTGTCTTCAAGTCTAGAGATTTTGAGCTGAACCCCTTGTTTCTCCTAGATTGCAGACCAGGGGACCAAGGCATCTGGCTGTTCTGTATTTTCATACAACACTGAAATCTTTGTCTCTCCTAGATTGCAGACCAGGGAACAAAGGCAGCTGGCTGTTCTGTATTTTCATACAACACTGAAATCTTTGTTTCTCCTAGATTGCAGACCAGGGGACCAAGGCAGCTGACTGCTCAATATTTTCATACAACACTGAAATCTTTGTTTCTCCTAGATTGCAGACCAGGGGACAAAGGCAGCTGGCTGTTCTGTATTTTCATACAACACTGAAATCTTTGTTTCTCCTAGATTGCAGACCAGGGGACCGAGGCATCTGGCTGTTCAATATTTTCATACAACACTGAAATCTTTGTTTCTCCTAGATTGCAGACCAGGGGACCAAGGCATCTGGCTGTTCAATATTTTCATACAACACTGAAATCTTTGTTTCTCCTAGATTGCAGACCAGGGGACAAAGGCAGCTGGCTGTTCTGTATTTTCATACAACACTGAAATCTTTGTTTCTCCTAGATTTATTTTTTTATTTTTTATTAATTTATTGTAATCACTTTTACATAATTGCAGACCAGGGGACCAAGGCAGCTGGCTGTTCTATATTTTCATACAACACTGAAATCTTTGTTTCTCCTAGATTGCAGACCAGGGGACCGAGGCATCTGGCTGTTCAATATTTTCATACAACACTGAATCTTTGTTTTTCCTAGATTGCAAACTAGGGGACCAAGGCAGCTGACTGCTCAATATTTTCATACAACACTGAAATTTTTGTTTCTCCTAGATTGCAGACCAGGGGAGAAAGGCAGCTGGCTGTTCTATATTTTCATACAACACTGAAATCTTTGTTTCTCCTAGATTGCAGACCAGGGGACCAAGGCAGCTGGCTGTTCTATATTTTCATACAACACTGAAATCTTTGTTTCTCCTAGATTGCAGACCAGAGGACCAAGGCAGCTGACTGCTCAATATTTTCATACAACACTGAAATTTTTGTTTCTCCTAGATTGCAGACCAGGGGAGAAAGGCAGCTGGCTGTTCTGTATTTTCATACAACACTGAAATCTTTGTTTCTCCTAGATTGCAGACCAGGGAACAAAGGCAGCTGGCTGTACTGTATTTTCATACAACACTGAAATCTTTGTTTCTCCTAGATTTTTTTTTTTTTTATTAATTTATTGCAATCACTTTTACATAATTGCAGACCAGGGGACCAAGGCAGCTGGCTGTTCTATATTTTCATACAATACTGAACTCTTTGTTTCTCCTAGATTGCAGACCGGGGACAAAGGCAGCTGGCTGTTCTATATTTTCATACAATACTGAACTCTTTATTTCTCCTAGATTGCAGACCAGGGAACCAAGGCAGCAGGCTGTTCTATATTTTCATACAATGCTGAATCTTTGCTTCTCCTAGATTGCAGACCAGGGACCAATGCAGCTGGCTGTTCTATATTTCCATACAACACTGAAATCTTTGTTTCTCCTAGATTGCAGACCGGGGACCAAGGCAGCTGACTGCTCAATATTGTCATACAGCACTGACATCTTTGTTTCTCCTAGATTGCAGACCAGGGGACAAAGGCAGCTGGCTGTTCTGTATTTTCATACAACACTGAAATCTTTGTTTCTCCTAGATTGCAGACCAGGGGACTAAGGCAGCTGACTGTTCTGTATTTTCATACAACACTGAAATCTTTGTTTCTCCTAGATTACAGACCAGGGAACAAAGGCAGCTGACTGTTCTGTATTTTCATACAACACTGAAATCGTTGTTTCTCCTAGATTGCAGACCAGGGGACTAAGGCATCTGGCTGTTCTATATTTTCATACAATACTGAATCTTTGTTTCTCCTAGATTGCAGACCAGGGGACCAATGCAGCTGGCTGTTCTATATTTTCATACAACACTGAAATCTTTGTTTCTCCTAGATTGCAGACCAGGGGACCGAGGCATCTGGCTGTTCAATATTTTCATACAACACTGAAATCTTTGTTTCTCCTAGATTGCAGACCAGGGGACAAAGGCAGCTGGCTGTTCAATATTTTCATACAATACTGAATCTTTGTTTCTCCTAGATTGCAGACCAGGGGACCAAGGCATCTGGCTGTTTTGTATTTTCATACAACACTGAAATCTTTGTTTCTCCTAGATTACAGACCAGGGAACAAAGGCAGCTGACTGTTCTGTATTTTCATACAACACTGAAATCGTTGTTTCTCCTAGATTGCAGACCAGGGGACTAAGGCATCTGGCTGTTCAATATTTTCATACAACACTGAAATCTTTGTTTCTCCTAGATTACAGACCAGGGAACAAAGGCAGCTGACTGTTCTGTATTTTCATACAACACTGAAATCGTTGTTTCTCATAGATTACAGACCAAGGGACCAAGCCAGCTGGCTGTTCTATATTTTCATACAATACTGAATCTTTGTCTCTCCTAGATTGCAGACCAGGGGACCAAGGCAGTTGGCTGTTTTATATTTTCATACAACACTGAAATCTTTGTCTCTCCTAGATTGCAGACCAGGGGACCAATGCAGCTGGCTGTTTCATATTTTCATACAATACTGAATCTTTGTTTCACGTAGATTGCAGACTAGTAGACCAAGGCAGCTGGCTGTTCTATATTTCTTACAACACTGCAATCTTTGTTTCTCATAGACTGCAGAACTGGAGACCAATGGAGCTAGTTGTTCTATATTTTCATACAATACCGAATCTTTGTTTCTCCTAGATTGAAGACCATGCATGGAACCAATGCAGCTGGCTGTTCTATATTTTCTTACAACACTGCTATCTTTGTATCTCCTAAATTGCAGAACCGGAAACCAATGAAGCTGGCTATATTCAATATTTCCATACAACATTGAACTCTTTGTCTCTTCTAGATTGCAGACCTGGAGACCAAGGCAGCTGGCTGTTCCATAGGTGGCGAGAGCATTGATGAAATAGGGGCATCATATTTCCCAGGAGATTCAAGACCCATAGGAGATCTTGATCAAAGTATGTATAATTAAGGTAGTATATACCTATAACATGAAGTTACTAAAGTATAATACTAAAGTAGTCTTTTCAAAGCATCTAAAAGACAATCCAAGACTAATACAATGGAGCAAATCAAGAGCCATATTATAATTTACACTTATGTTATGATTGACAAATGTCTGTATGCTCTAATTTTTCAGGCTTCTGTGAGCGGAACACATTTACAGGCGTTGGTTGGCCAATGACACACACCTCTGAGTCTGGAGTGGGGTGGTGGATGAAAGACCCAATACCCGACTCTCCTGAGAATCGCACTGCCATCTATTATGTGGCCGGACATAGTGGAGCTCTGTACATGTACAAGTGGAACAACTATCATTCTATGTGGACCCGTGCTTCAAAGACTAGCCTCGGCCGCACAGCAAAGTATGTTTTTAAATTTTTATAAACAGGGTACATAAAATTTTCAGTGTGTATTATACAAACACAGAATTGTAATTCAGACCCATGCTCCAAAGACATTTATTGGCTGTTTTTTATTTTTCATTTACAAGAACATTTCAACATGGTATTGTATTATAATGCAAACATTCAAAATGGTGACCACTTTTATGGTGGAAAATTCAGGTTTTAGCTCATTTTTGGTCCACAAGTGTTCCCTCAATTTGCTAGAAATTATAGAGGTACCTTTATTTTTCGATTATCAACAATGCCTACAAGTTTCGTTCAAAATAACTGCCATTTCTTTTTAATACCAACACCATGTGTGCCCAGTACCCATGGTACTATTTATGTAACGTTAATGCCTTGTTTGCACATCGTGTTGTATATGTATACGATTCATACACATAATTATATGCAATGTGAGGACATGCTTAAAAGATGAACCTCGGCTGCACTCACAGTTGAAAATTATTTATAATTTATCCAACACAACCATTCATGAGCTAGCAGTGATTTAGGAAATAATAGTGATAAATCTCAGTCCTATTGAATAATATAAAATGGTTTGAAAATATTATTTTCAGCTGAATTTTCTTTTTTGTTTCAGACACATGTACGGGACAAACCATGTGTTGTTCAATGGATCCCTCTACTACTATTCAAGTCAAAAGACCATTGAGAGGGTTGACTATAGAACATGGTCACCAAAAGCATCGGTAATTAGGGTTTCTTCTTACTGTATTTTATGATCAATTTGAAACAGTATTGATTGAATAAGAAAAACAAAACCGTCCTTAAAGTCCCCGTCTAAAGTTTGAAAATATTTTTTTATCATTCATTTACTATTTGTCAGGACTTAAAAAGTGATTTTAGAGATTTTTGAACAAAAAAAAATTTTTGAAAAAAAAGTTGTGAGCATTTCATTTCTCAAATATTCAAATTTCCCGCCATTTTTCAAAAAAAGTTGAAATTTCTTAATCATCAAATATTTCTTAATGCATTTCAAAAAAGATTATCTTTTTAACACCAATGCAAAGATTGAACAAAAGACACACTATTTCAATAATAAAATGTCATATTTAATGGGCCACTTCAATGTTTTAGTTTATCAAAAATATTTTGAAACATTAGTGATGTCACTAAGGTAACAAAAACTTTTTGAAAAAAATTGAATTTTTTTTTTCGATGTCAATCTTTTCTAAATATGCTAGATTTTCATAAAAAAACCAATGTTGATTGTCTAACCAGGTTAAAAGGAAGAATAAATTATGTTTTAGATATCATTGTACCATTGGTTTCTATGAGAACTAAAATTTTGAAATGCATTTTTCTTAGAACCATTTTCATGCACTGATAAGTTCATTTCTCGTTTGTTTATCAACCGATTTTCTTAATTTTTTCGGCAAAAAACATGGGAGGATGAATGCTATGCATTGGTATGAATTGTGGCTAATTAGAAGATATGAGTGACCTCTTAAAGTTGGTTTTAAATAAATTCACAAATTTTGGAACAAAAAGTCTATCAAAAACCACTTTTTGAAATTTAAAAAAAAAGTTTCACATATCACACTTTGATAACATTGGGTAAGACTACAATATAAGCCAAAGTGGTTTTAACTTTACACGGGGCCTTTAAAACAAAAAACCAAGGTTTTAAGTAAAAGTGAAATCAATAATAAGTTTGAGGAGTCAGTATTAAATATCAAATACAAGTTAAAACTGTTTTTAATATAGACGTTAATAAAGTTGTTTATTAGATGATCCGAAAACAAATATTACATAACATTGTGATTGCCACGCCCGGTGATCGTACAAAATGGATGGAGGCGGGGATTAGGCGATTTCTGCAAGTAAACTCAACAAAGGAAGATTTATTTTTTCAAGAGAAAATTTACAACTGAATTGCTAAATGAATAGGCGCAGTTATGTGTTAGGTCATCTAGTGTTTTTTGAACTGATACCCTTCTAAGATATGAGATCTATTAAAAAAGGCGCATCAACCAACGTGCAAAAGTCAATTTTTTCGCTATAAATCGGGCAACAATGGTGTACACGACCTGTAATAAATAGGTATAAGGGACGTTATTATCACAATACTAATGACATTGCTCACTTTTTAAAGTTAGTTTCCATGCGTTATACAAAAAACAATCGAAATAAATTAATATTGAATGGAGGGGGGATTTATTATCTTACTGGATGACCTAACAAATTTTGCAATGCACTGCGCCTATTCATTTGGCAATTCAGTTGTAAATTTTCTCTTGAAAAAATAAATCTTCCAAATTTGTTGAGTTTTCTTGCAGAAATCGCCTAATCCCCGCCTCCATCCATTTTATACGATCACCGGGCGTGTGTATGAAAGGAGGGGATCTTCAATTGCAGAATCTTCTCTTAAAGTTACCTCATGCTCATTTAGGCAAACCCTTTGATGGATTGATTAAGAATTTTGAAAGATATTCCATGGTATCACAATCTAAAAGTGGTTAGATATTGGGCAAGCTGGGTTTATCTCTTGGGTTAACTTTGACACATATGTACCCATCATTTTAACTGCACATTAATTAGTAATTTACATGTACTTTTCACAAATGTGTCCATTTATTTCGCTATTCTAAACAGCATCTAGATTTAAACCCTATAGTGTAATACAATGCATGGATCACCTCTACAGTGTGTCTCAAAAAAATGTTACACTTACAAAAAGTTCAATATCTTTCATGATTTTGAATTTTCCCCTAAAATATACTTAGATACCAAAAGACCAGTCTTTTTCAAATAAATCCACACTATCAGATTCAAAATCCGTCCATGATTGGCTGCACAGGTCAGATTTTACAGACGCATATGAAATCTGATTTGCGCCAACTTCTCAGTGGTTGGACATGTAGTAATCAATTCTTTTTTGGTGTGAACTCTGTGGACAGTTATATCTTAATATGATCAATGATCCAGGTGTTTTTTCCTGGATAGTAATACAAGATTCCATTATCAGGTACCAGGTATTCAATTTTGTTACGTATGATGGCAACAGGATGGTGCAAAGACCTATGGCAGATCGTTTGGTAGAACTCTTTGGAAATCAGAGGATAGCATTGAATTACCCAATACAGGAGTTTAGCCTAGCTAAATAGTTGAAAATACTCTATATTAAAACAGCCAATAGATGTCTAGCCCATTTTCAGGAAAAGAATCTTAGGCCTAAAGCAGTTCCCCATTGAACCAACATGTAAAACATCACATTTATACTATGATTTTAACATCATAATGCTACCATTTCTGTTTCCTCATTCATTCAGAAAATCAATAGATCTTTAGGTAAGATCTTATATATCATCATTGGTATGAAGTTTTTTAGTCTTTTAAAAGAACATAAATAATAGAAAATAAAGATGAATATTGGCTATTTTGTTTAAAATATTTGGCTTGATGTTGGTCAGCTTAAATCACCAAAATGACCTGGGGTCAATAAGTTTACATAGCCACCAGTAAGATACTGCTTGTTTTAAGTTCAGCTTGAATTGTGTACAATGTTTACTATTGTCCACATACTGATACAGGATAAAAGGTTAAGTTAACTAGATAGTTAGAGATCATTCAGATATTTGATGCAGGATTTGAGAGTTTACATTCAAACAAGTTTTATAACTAATCCCAAATAATTTATTCGCAGACTCAGAAACTGATCCAATGTGCCAACTTACACTTATATTTGACATCATTGAAAATGTTTCTAAAGTTTTTTCTCCAGACATTATTATTAACGAATACTACAAAATGTAATTATAGATGTTAGATATCTTGTACTTTCATAAGAAATACTAAGAAGAAAGTAGATTAACTAATTCACATGTAATGTATGGCCCTGTAGTGACCCTTGACCAATTAGTCAGTTTCCAGTTATATAACAGTTGGAAAAGATATTTCTTTGATGTCTTTAAATAGATAACAATCTTATCATGACCTATGGCCCAAGAATCTTTTAAAATAAAAACAATTTTTTCAAAGAATCGAAGAAAAGGGTGAAAAATCTAGAGAATCCCCATACCTTCTATGTTATCATTTCCTGAATTTTTATCATATGACTGCCATCTATATGGAATTAGCTTAGGCTAAAAGGGCTTATTGATTGGCCCCGTTGTCATGCCACTTTGCACCCTTGATATTTTGAAAGGCCTCTGAATGCGCTTTACAGCATCAAAAACTGACCTAAATGAACTTCTGCCAAAATAATTGATGGAATCAGTGTGATATTACAATGCATGCGTGCATGGGCAAGGGTACCTCAGATTTGCTTTGGAGAACATGTTGAGGGGACCACATGTTTATGTGGATAGACCCAATGATCATATGTAAGACAAATAGGAAAATTACATAATGACTCAGTTAAATTTCAAGCTTCAACTCAGAAGAAAGTTAAATGTTAAAGAAACTGTTCCTCTTTTGTCATTTGGTCCATCCAATTACTTAGAATTTGGCGCAAGTCAAATTTTACCATGGGACACTAAAAGCTGCCCTGTGCAGTCAATCAAGGACAGATTTTGAATCTGATGGTGTCAAATTATTCGAGAAAGATTTGTATTTTGATATCCAAAGTATATTTTAGGGAAAAGTCAAAATTATGAAAGATATTGAACTTTTTGTAAGTGTAACATTTTTTTGAGACACACTGTATAAGGCATTTGCCCTTTAAATCCTACAGGTGTCGATTCCCGAGGTAGAGGCCGTGCCTAACTATAACCGTGGTGGCGTCACTTACGTGGACATCAACGTAGATGAATATGGACTGTACATCGCCTATGTCCAGAAAGGTAATATTATATACTAATCATCAGTTATCAATCGTGAGGTGTAGAGTCAGGGGTGATGTTCAAATTTCAATTTCATGTGAGAGAACTAAGTTGATTTTTATAGACTTAACGAAAGTTTAACATATTAATCCATTTACATTTAAACTTATTTATATAACACCGATGAACATGTACTAGAACTTTTGACATTTTGACAACACCTTTAAAGGGTGACGCATATCGTTTAGCAAATCGAACGCTCGTTTCTGGTGTTGCTCACCGTTTAGTATAAAAGGCCCGATCCCGGAATAATACTCACAGGGTTCACAGGCTCGAGGTCGTTGTGTCAACACCTCTAACTGTTATATAGCATAAGTATAGTATAGATCGTCAAACATTTATAAAAGGGTGATTTTTATTTTGAGAAATCAATTCCACATTTATGGGTGAAGTTTCAGGATCTTCTATTTGTGTATAATAAGGAAAAAAGGCATCTTTTCCCCATAACGTAATAGCACACAGCTTGGCATATGAAATATCCTACAAATGAAACAAAGCAGTTCCAATACAAGGATTTATATTGGCTGTTGTAGATGTATTCTTTGAACGCAACCACTCTTTGGATAATGTTTTCAAAATCATTATAAACGGATTACTTTATCTCAAAGACAATTTCAATAAACTGGATTTTACAGAACTCCCCTTATTTCTTAAAAATGGACTGATCCAGTTGATTCACCTGGAGCCGCCATATTGTTTTTATACGGGAAGCTTATCGGAAGCTAAATTAAATAAAAAGTACAAAAAATGACTGCCATATTTTTTTGATAAAGACACATGTTTTTAAAATCTGTTTACCTTGTATATGAATTGTATATCTTGACAAATGAAACATGTCAAAGTTAACATCACACATAAACGCATTTTTCTAAACTATGAATTGGAGGTGTATGAATCCCCAAAGCTAGCATGAAGAGTGCGAAGTGAGGCTAATTTTTGAAAGTTTCAAGGAGTAGCCTTGCAACATGGTGGACATGAAATATTTAGCATTTAGAATTTTAAGCTTAAATAGCATAGGGAGACTGTAAAACCTGTTTTTAGTTACATGTACATAAAGAGAATATATCAAGTTGAATTTTTCACTCATGGCTACAATGCATATTTTATCTTTGAATTGATAACTTAAATAATGCATACATGTACATCAAAAGAGAAACAACCCATATATAGTTAAAACTTCATTGTCTTGTAGTTTTGGAATGTGATCATCGTTCTTGAACGGTTTGAGAATGATTTATTTGTTAAAACTGCATTGTCTTGTTGTTTTGGATTGTGATCATTGTTCCTGAACGGTTTGAGAATGAGTTATTCGTTAATTAAAACTTCATTGTCTTGTTGTTTTGAAATGTGATCATTGTTCCTGAACGGTTTGAGAATGAGTTATATGTTAAAACTTCATTGTCTTGTTGTTTTGGAATGTGATCATTGTTCCTGAACGGTTTGAGAATGAGTTATTTGTAGATTATGACATTGAAAATGTAGTGTTGCTTCCTTGTGTCCAATTGTAGTTCTCAAAGTTCCCTTTTCTAGAGTGTATGTTTAATATTACCAAAAATATTTTGCAAGTTCCTCAGTACGATCTCATGTCTTCCAAATTTCTCTGCCATTTGTGTAATCGTTCATATTCAGACTGGACGTGGAAGGACATGTCAAACACATGCATAAATGCTGAAACCGTAACATCCACCACTACATCAACTTTGGAAGAATGTAAACAAAAATGTGTGAATGAGGGAGGGTTTAGGTGTATGTCCATTGACTGGAATTATGGATACCATTACTGTAACCTCAAACTACTTGATTCTGGGGATGTGCCTCTTACTTCGCCATGTACCCGCTATGGACATTATTGGTATCACTCTGAACGAAAATTTGCAGATCCGCAAAGCAAGTATATGTCTTATTAGACTGTATCATGGATAACTTACAGCTGTTCTTTTCATATTGGCATTCATTTCAAAGTTTTGTTGAGGTAGTCAAGGCACTTACTGTGAGCTAAGTTGGTATTTACATTATCCTGATATTGGTTCATTAAGCAGGTGCTGGTGTTTTTTCTGTGTTCAAAAGTTCCTTTTTGCAATATGTGGTTAGTGTTATTAAGTTTTTCCCTTCCACCATATTGTGTTTACATACATGTTTTATAAATTTCTTAGTATGATCCCATGTCTTCCAAGGTTGTTTCCCATGTGTGTTATTGTTAATATTCAGACTGGACATGGAAGGACATGCCAAACACTTGTATAAATGCTGAAATCTTAATATCTACCAAAGTTGCTTCTTTGGAAGACTGTAAACAGAAATGTGTGAATGAGGGCGGGTTAAGATATATGTCCCTTGACTGGATTTACTTTTAAAAGTTGTGTTATCTTAAACTACTGGGGATATGTCATCTCAGTTGGACGTATTGGCACCACTCTGAACGAATATTTGCAGATCCGCAAAGCAAGTATTATTAAATCTTGTGATGGATAGCGTGTATGTTGCTCTTTTCATTATGGCATGTCGTTCCCAAGTTTTATTTTTATAGTGAGTTTGTAGATACACGAAGCTAACTGATATTGGTTCATAAAGCATATGTTAATGTGTTTTTTCTATGTCTGAACTTGTCCTGTATTATATTCTTTTCTCATTCCTAAGGGATGTTGTCCAATTATCAACAGCTGTGGAATAATGGAGTTAGTTTAGGGGGAGGGTGTAAACGATGGTTTTGTTAGCAAATAGTGTTGAATTTTTAACATTCAAGAGAAAGCCAATTGCCAATTTGAAATCAACATTTTAAAATTTTATTAGATGAGAGAGGGTCAAACCATAATGAAAAATAACTTCATTAACTGCATTAACTGCATTAATGGTTGAGAAATAGGGATCGAAACCAGCCATAGTTTTCTCCTGATACCATTGTGAATTGTTGTGTTTTATGGATTATGATGACGGCTTTGCGAACGGATGTTAGCCCTTGGAATTGCTTATGGACTTCGAGACTGGATTTTATCTATCCCACAACATTTGAGACCGAATACTCTATCTTTTATGAGTACTAGTATCTACAACTATTTTTGATGTTATGAGTATTGGCTTTCAATTTTTTCAATTTTTCTTCAACATGTATTGTAATGACTTCAGTATGAATGAAATGTCCGTTTGTGTTCTGGTCCTGGATTGTGATATTGGTTCTCGATTGGAGGGGGGAGGGGGATGTTAGACATTGTTTCTTTTCACTTTAGATTATGGTTTTGGGATATATAGGGTCTACTTTTCTTATGACAGATTTACACTTACAGTTTGCTTTTCTTGTTGGGTTTCTTTAAAGTTTTTAGTCACCCTTCCCTTTGGCATTTGTGCTTATATATTCTTTTTTCAACTACTGTTGATAATTTGAGACCATCCTTAAGTATAGGGTTATTGTAGGATCAAGTACTTCACATGATTTCCATTGTCTGCTTATGGTTTCCATTTCCTCAGAATGATCGGGTTTAGCTTATAGGCAGGTTTTGGCTACCATTTTAATACAATCTTCTAAGATTGGTAGTCACACCTTTCCCATTTCTCTGATTGCTAAGAGAATGGGTCTTGCCTCCAAAAGCTGCTTTCTGAATGTGGTAAGGTCATTGGAGTAGAACCTTTGATTTAATGTCTTCAGGTGTGAGAGGATACGATATGATATATATATTTGTAACACTCTATATTTTGGTCTTCAGATGGGACCTACAGTTCAATAATTTAGGTTCTTATATGTATTTCCAAATTAAATGCCAGTTTCCTCGGCCCAGTTTCCATTTAATGCTTCATTAGAAACTCTTCTGTGAAATGATGGTAATATTTCATAAATGTATTTAATATTAAACTGTATTCCTAACGTAAACTATCAAAGTATGGCATCAAATTTATACATTCATAAAATCTAGACTAGGTTAACTATAAGGTAGGATAAATGCTTTTTTGTATGCCAGAAATATATTTGTCTTAAGGATTTGAATACACCATACTGAAAAGAAAATTTATGATCTTTCCCATAAATTCATACTTCATTTGATGAACCAAAGAAAGAGCATGGTATATTGGCTAGACTTGTCATATCATACAATGTGTAAAGAAACTTTCAATATAATAAGGTTTGCAGATAACGATTATAATATGAACAATGTGTTACGTGTAAAACAAATATTTGATGAAAGTACAACCGAAATTCAGTTAAAAACAGCAGAAGTTATTCTGGCTATGCAAATCTAAAGAAACTCGTTGTTGGTATGACAACTCTATTTTGGTCCTGAGCTATCGGCCTTGGGGAAGATGTTTTAAAATATGTGTTTTCATTCATTAATTCAATTTGTAACTTTATTAGACTCCAGATTTCATCTGGAGTCTATTGCTTTTGCCAGTTTTCTTATTATTAGACTCCAGATGAAAATCTGGAGTCTATTGCTTTTGCCAGTTTTCTTATTATTATTAGACTCCAGATTGAAAATCTGGAGTCTATTGCTTTTGCCAGTTTTCTTATTATTCTTTCTTTCTTTCTTTCCGAACACTTTTTCTCAGCAACTAGAAGAACTTACTTTAACCTACTTACATGGCTATTATAGCCCATCAACCTAGTTTCTGGGAAATTAGGTCAATTTTTATCTAGGTCAAAGGTCAAGAACTAGGTCAAATTTAGTTCAAATCAACATTCTGTCCATTATCTTCGTTGTTGTTTGACGTAACTCATTCATCTTTTTTTTAACATGTAGCTAAGAAAAAAACAAATCGAGAGTGTGCCATCCGTTTTTTGATTACTCTTACCGATTTTGAGATGTGGCGTCCAGAAAGTAGGTCAAACTAAAAAAATTCTCCAAATTTAACATACGAGCTATGAAATAAGGGTAGAATTTTCTCAGGAATCCAAATCTGCAAACCAAATTCCGATCCGACTTCCCGTTCGGAAGTTATGGCGTTTTGAAAGCTCAAAATCGCTAAATTTGGTG